CGTGTGGGTGTGAAGAACATGGGACTCTTGTGATAGAGCAGGGGCAAATTAGATTGGAGAGGTAGGAAGTATATATGTCTGTATTAAGGAGGGATTTGTAGACATTTTCAAGCCTATATGCTGTTACAGTTTGGATAGCATAAAGGCTTGTAAACATTAGGAATAAACAAGAAAACCTGTGGGCTTTTTGAAAAGAGTCAGATCTGACTGTCATTTCCAGCAGAGGGGTGGTCATTGCCTATGGAAAGGGTCAGGCCTGCTGCTCCCAAGCATCATGATTCCAGCGTCCTCTCTTGCCTGCCTGGGTCCAGTTGCTTGGCATTTCTCGCTGTGTCCCATCGGCATTTGGCTTTGTGACCTCAGTTTTCAAGTCTTGGATGCCATGCTGGAGAATGTGTGCTGCTGTCACAGGCCATGGGTGCCCCCCTCCCTGCCCCAAGGATTCTGGCAGGAGCCAGAGACTGTGGAATCCGAGGATTCCAGCACCATGCTTTGCTTTAGGCCAGTGAGCAGCTCTTGCTGGGGAGCTGCTGGCTGGGCCTTGGAAATATTTTCATGATGAACAGCATGGGATTTACTAGAGAGGGCTTTGCCTTGTCATCTAGAAATCGAGGCAGACTTCTAGGGATCTGAAGTTCTCTCCTGCCTCTACTTCTGGCTGGCGTGAATAGATTGTGGCTCCTGGCATGTCGCTCTGAAAGGGATGTTGGGGTTATGAGTTGGTGAGTTGTGAGTCACAGCTGTCAGTTGCCTTGTGACATTAGATTCTGAGATGCTTTGGTTCTGTGGGCCCATGAAAGAAGACCAAGGAGAAGCGGGAGCCCCAGCGGGGAAGGGTGCATAGTCTGGAGAGGTTCATAGTGGCTGCAGAGTAGCTGGCTCAAGCCCAGGTATTAATGCATATGGCTACAGAAGAGTAGGTGTGTTTGGGGCAGCTGGTGTGGGAAGTCTTTATGGCTGAGGACACTCTGGCTTTTCCCGGAGTCCTAACTACCCACCATTCAGAGCTCCTCCCAGGTGAGCTGCAGGTGATAGGGCCTGACCAATCGTTTCCCTGCTTTTTACAGGTAGGACAAAATTTACCTAAAAGTATTGCTTTTTTTTTTTTTAACACACAGATACAAGTTAGGAATTTTCTTAAAAGCATATGGCCATAGGATGCAAGGGTACCTAGAAGTCAGCTGAATTACATCAAGTTGAATCTATTTCCTGTTTTATGTGATGTTTTGCTTACTAAACCAGAAGGGAATGATGCAGCAGCTTTAGTAAAGTAGTTCACAGTTTCTTAAGATACACTTGTCTGTATTAAATCATAAGTAGTATGATTTAATAGTAGGGGCTGGGTGGTGGTATTGGTTTAATTTAGGGATCCTATGCAAACGCTGTTAGTTACTGGTGCAGAGTCAGCCTGGGAGGAGGTCAGAAAGTGAGCACCACAGGGCTCTGATTTTGGCTTGGGTTGGGTTGAGTATAAGGAAGATGTGTTTGTCTGATTTGGAGGCCCAGAGCTGGGAAGGACTGCTTAGTCTGTAGATAAATCAGAGTCATCTAGGATGAAGACCTCAAATTAAGAAGAAAAAGAGCTTATTACTTTCTTTGGGGGGGGGAAAGAATACAGTCAAATATGGCAAAACAAAGCTGTCAGTCAATACCAAGGATAGACATAGCACATGGTGTAGAACAGAGTACAAGGTTATCAATAATGGTTATCAACGTTGTCCCTTGTTTCCTTAAAAAGAATTGTCTATCTTATTAGATATTATAAAGTTGGACAAAACAGTAGAGAACAAGACCAATAAAACTTAGGCATTGTAAACATTACAGGACTTCCAAAGAAGACAATAGTCAAACCAGAATGGGTATCTTAGTGAATCTTATTGTCTTCAAAGTAGTTGCCTATGTCTTCAAACTTGATACTATCATATAGAATGGAACAGAGTCTAATCAGTCAAAACAAGATCGTGGGAGTACTACAGGACTTCAAAACAAGTTAATAGGAAATCAAAAAGAGTTACTATTTATATATCCTAATTTTTTTGAATTTTTTCTTTAATTAAGACAAACATAAGAAATGACTAAATAATTTTTTTTTGAAACAATAAGGGGGAGATTGAGATAAAACAGGACATAACAATATAACAATAGAGGTCACAGCATGACTGTTTCAATAACCTAGTACTTCACCACCTTCCAAGATGTGTAAATTTTGTTGTAAAAAAGAGAGGGAAAAAAAAAAAAAAAGAAAAAGAGCTCTAACGGATATAACAGCAAGTGTGTTTGGGGGTGTTAAATAGCTGACTTTATCAATGTTTTTGGAACATTGAACACAGCTGTTTGCAGTCTCCCTGTTTGAATGTCCACCTTGTGTTCTTTGATACTGTGATTTGAGGAACTATTTTCAAGAAAATAGTGTGTAATCTACTAGCAGGTAATTTCTTACTGTTATGGTTTTTTGTTTTGTTTTGTTTTGTTTTGTAGTTCTGTATTGCGTGTACCCTTACGCCGCTTTGGTTTGTTTTGTGTTTTTCTCTTTTTCCTCTTAAATAAAAAAAAAAAAACAAAAAAAAACAAAAAAAAAAAAAAAGAAGAAAAACAGCCGGTGTGGCGGTGCACGTGTGTGATTCCAGCTAATTGGGAGACTGAGGCAGGAGGATTGCAAGTTCCGGCCCTGCTTGGGTAACTGTGAGCGTCTTTCTCTAAATAAATAAACAAATGGGGCTAACTAGGGTTGTAGCTCACAGCCCCTTCCCTCATTTCTGTAAAGAATAAATATAAAGCGTGGTTTAGTTTTACAGATTTGGGCCAAAATCTCAAGATGGCCAAATAGTCTAATAAGATAATTATTCTTCTGGGGATGTAGCTGAGACAAAACATGAAATATAAATGATATTTTTATGCACCCATCATTCAGATTTTTTAAAAACTCTAGTAGTAGCAACCTATATTTCCACTGGTGTGGGCTGGAGATAGTGGATAGGTGAATTCCAGTGGATGTGTCTTTAAAATGGAGGTTTATGAAGTTATGCAAAATAATATTTAGGAGCAATTTAAAAGATAACCAGGGAGGATGTTTCTGGTAAAAGTTACAGTGTGCCTACCATCTAATTCCAAAGGTTTAAAAAACATGCCTAGAAAATAACTGGAAGGAAGCGTCCTAATAATACCAAACCTCCTTGTTTCTAGATGGGTTGAGCTAAGTGACTTTCTCTTTTTCATGCTTTTAAATTTATTATTTGCCAGTGGGGGGGGGAACCGCTACTTTAAACACATCTTGTTGTTTGAGGACAGGATGGAGTAGATGATTCATGTGGAGATTATTGTTGAGTACCTACCTGCCCCGTGTCAAGTGTTGGCTTAGATACCACTCTCACAAAATAACACCCAGCACCTGACTCTGGCACAGGCCACTGTGGAAGGCCAGGCTGTCTGGTGGAAAGTCTTGTGTTTTTTTTTTCTCTGTCATTTATGAGTTCAGCGTGGAGTCCTCAGTGGGTTGAGGCTTTCCAAATATCAAAGCCAGTGGAGAATCCCAGGATCCAGTCTTAATGACCTTGGTCATATGACCTTTGGACTCCTGGGGTGATTTTAAAGGAACCTGAGCATCAGGACTTGATCCACAAAGGGAGAATAGGGTGATGGAGACTCAGGAGTGACCTGTATGGGCTTGTGGAGGGGGTCTGCAGTAGTGCCTATAAAATGCTTTCATGGTTGTCGGGGGTAGGCAGGACCACTAGTGTTCATTTTTTTGTTTTTGGTACCGGGAATTGAACTCATGACCTTGTACTTGCCAGGCAAGTGCTTGAGCCGCTGAGCCAAATCCCTGGTCCTAGGTTTGGCGGCATAGGTAAATTCCCAGGGGCGGGGAAGATGACATCACGGTAAATTCCTAGGGGTGGGGGAGATAGGAGCTTCCTGGTCCCTATTGAGGCTTTTCTGGCTAGAGTCCCGTCTGGGCCAAAACCCTTTCAAATTTAATTTGACATAATCTCTTTAAATGGTTGGCAGCGGTCATTTAGGGCCCTTGTCATTCCATACAGCGAGGCACCTTGGGAGAGTGCCGCACCCCATCTCTCCCCAGTGCTGTTCAGTTCAGGGCTCTGGCCAGCCACCTCAGCAAGCTTTTGTGCAGTTAGGAGCCATGCAGCCGTGTTCCCGTGGCACAGTTACTTACACATCTTTTCTGAGCCTCACTAGCTTATTCTCCGTGTGTTTTGTTTCTGTAGGCAGGGGCTGAACAAGCGTTGTGTGTTTTCACTTCAGTTAGATTTTATTGGTACATTTGGGACATACCCAATGATCATCAATAGAGGATTTGTACCTCTACATGGTACTGTTTACTTTCCCATTCCCCTACCCTCCCTTCAAGGTTCCTCCCCTTATCCATTTACAAACTTTCCTTTCCACATTTTCTGTTTTGTGTTAAGTAATCAGATTTACAGTCTTTTCCCTTTTTGCTTCTTGATTTTTGAGACATAATCAGGAAAGACCTGTTGAGTACATGGAAAAAAAATCACCCAACGCTTTTTTGATATAGTGGTTTGTTTCTGCCATCAGTTGCTGATCCTTTCAATCCACACTGTGAATAACTAGGGGAGGCTCCATCACCTACAATGCCAGCCACCTGCGACTGGGCCCTGGCTCTGAGGTGAGCCGCAGCGCCAGGGGTCTGCACCCTGAACTTTGACGCGTGGCCCCGCCCCACCCAGGCGAAGGTGCCAACCAGGCCAGCAGCCACGTAGCGGCGTGCCAGGCCTAGTGCCCAGGTCCAGCGGTGAAGGCGCCTGAGCTCGGTGCCCTAGCGCGGCTACTGGCCAGCCTTGCTCTATGGCCAGGGGACCCCGGGACCCCGCCCCCGGCTGCGCTCACTGGACGCTCCGCCCACTGGCCTCGTTCATTGGACGCTCCCGCCCCGCCCCCGCGCGGTGTCCAGCTTTCGCCCCGCCCCCTCTGTGAAGCCCTGCCCCTTTGTGGTCGTCCTGGAGACCCTCTGTTACCTAAGTTTACGGTTCACAGCGCAGCACGAAGCCGAAGGTGTAGCTGTGCAGTTCCGCCCTCTGCTGCCGCTGCCACTGGGAAAGACTTCTCTGCCACTGCCGGGTCCGGCCCGATCGGGCCAGGTCCTGCCCGGTCCTGCCCGGTCCGGCCGGGTCCGCAGCGAGCGGTCCTTCGCTATGGACACGGTATCAGCCACTGTAGCCGGGGTCTTCGCGTCCCCGGGTACCCCCGAGCTGCTGAGGCGCCTGTCGAAGCTGTATTCGGCCTTTGTAACCCTGCTACTGAAGGTGAGGCGGGGGAACCAGGGTTGGGCAAGGGGCGCTGGTCGCCCGCTGGTGGGACGGTCCCTTCGGAAGAGCCGTACCCGACGGGCAGGAGCCGGCAGGAGCGTGGTGTGGGCTGCAGAGGGCCGGGCTGAGGGAGCGGCATGGTCTGAAGCCAGCCATCGCCTTGGGAGCCACGTTCACGCCCCACCTGTTTCCTCGCACGGATTGTTTCATGAGGGTGCAGCAAATTGACATGCAGCCTCCTGGAGGAGTGATGCCTGACTTGTGGCGATCATTGTCATAGTGCCTTTGTTTGCAGACGCACAAACCTATCATGTATTTACAATGTGGGGTGTGTGTGTGTGTGTGTGTGTGTGTGTGTGTGTGTGTGAGTGTGTGTATGTGCCTGCGTGTGCAGTAATAGAAAACCGCTCAGACACTGCGATGAAGAAGGGCTGTTGGCCAACTGGGAAGTAGGTTCAACTCACTCCCTAAGTTTAGAGACTCAACAACGCGAGCCTGCCTGTATCCCCTTTCCGGAGGTTTCTTCAGGGCACCTGGAAGTTGGTTTAGACTATGGAGAGTAGATTGAGAGTATCTGTGATGATCCTTTGTGATTGCTCCACCAGTTCTGTTAACGTTTCCGTTATTTGTGCCCTTCCTTTTCAGCTGGTTGCAGTGTTACCTGAGAATTTCCAGCCCGGGCCTGGAGACTTTTATGGGCTCCCCTGGGAGCCTGTATTGTTCACTACCTGTGTTGGAATCCTTATGCTTGCGATTTTCTTGTGGAGGAATGTTTTTCCAGTGAGTGAATTAACTTGCTCTTTGACTTCTGAATATATTGAGGATTCTATTATCATTGGCCCTTTCAGTTATTAACATAAACAAATCAGTGGTTATAATTCAAGTTAGTTTTCTGAAATAATTTAATCTTGGTACTGGCAAAGACTTAAGAGCAAGCTAACCATATCCACTTATTAGTAGAGTTGGTGACTCGTACAGCCATCCTGAAAAGCAGTTTAATAATTCTATATATCATAAGCCTTTAAAATGGGATACAAAACAGGATAAGAAATATAAATTGCTTTTATATGGTATGATAACGTCAGTAAATGATCTTAAAGAAATAAATTACATGTTAAGATTTTATACAAAGGTATTAGATGTAGTATTTAATAGACTAATAACTTGGTGAAACCTAAATGATCTATATTAGGGAATATCATGTTTCATCTTATTTATATCCACAGAACAGAATATTACGCTGCTGTATGTATTTCAAAGGCAGGGGACAAAGAAGGTGTTCACGATTTAATGTGAAGTGGGAAAAGGGGAAACAGACCGTGAGGTACTGATGAACTGTGCTGTAGAAACATACAGGGCAAGAAATACAGTAAGATGGTAGAAACATCCAGGCAAGATCAGGCAGAGTGGTGTGTGCATTCCTGTGGCCCTGGAGGAGAGGGAGGCTGAGACAGGAGAAGTGCAAGTTTGAGCCCAGCCTGGGCAACTTGGTCACTTACCAAGAGCCTGTCTCAAGAATAATGGGAAGGCTGAGAATGTAGTTCATTGTGAAGGCCCCGTCCCAGGTACCACCAAAACCAACCCCAAAACAGCACCCTATGAAAGATTCCTGTGAGGACTTCTGGAATCTCACCGAACAGCTTCTTGGATGAAAGCAGGCCTGGAAGGGTACGCAGAGTGTTTGGGGGTGAAAAGGTGCTGTTCCCCCTGCTCCTCTCCTTTGGTTCCCCTGCAGCTGCTACCCAGCAGGGCTCTCAGGCTCCGCCCTGCAGCTTCACACCCTGCCCCGGGCTCACTTCCTCCCACTCCCTGAGGTCACATGGCTCTGAGGGGACACTCCTGATCCTGGAGAGCACAGTCGCCCTCCCCCCCACGCCCCTCAGCTGGCACTGCGCTCTGCTGTCCTATACTGTTTATAGCACTCGGAAGGAGAAGACAGAGTCTGCATTACAGAGAAGTGCAGTGATCGCTGCTGTGGTATTTAATTAGTTGCAGTTTAGGATTTATGACCCCAGAAGGCACCGGGAGGAAGACCTGGGTCTGTGCTCTTCCTGGAAGCCGTTAGCTGTCATTTCTCTGTGTTCTTCTGGTGTCTTCCCTTCCGCTTAGATTTATTACTGTTTTTGTGGTCTGGGGAAATCAGATGATGAGGTGTATTAGATTATTTCTTAATTGAGTCAATAGATCACTTGAAATAGGGTTTCTGAGGTATCTTCCAGTGAGTGAGAGAGGCGTATCTTAGTGCAAAGGTCATGCTGGTAATCTCGCTCGCCAGTCCTCCATATGGTCACCCATTTCTAGACTGCATGCTTGCTTTTGGGATTGTCAAGTAATTTCGAGTAAGTAAATCAATAATGTGTGTATTATAAAAACAAGCATTTCACTGTTGAAGCCAAATGCTCATCTCAGAAGCCTGGTGTTCACTTGGTCCTGGCACACAAGCCCGTGTGTAGCTGTGAAGTAAGACACGCTCCTTACTGTTCCTCTGTATCAGAGGCTATTTATAATACATTTTTAATTGTATGGGTTTATTCTGAACTAAAGTTACTAAATTTTCACTTGGTTATGATCCTGACTTGTGTTAGGAACTATGTATTCCTTTTAATCAAATGTTTGACATCAAATTTCTCTCTTTCTCTTCTAGGTAAAGGAGAGAATATACCAAGGTAAATCTCTTCCTGTTGGTGTTTGGGAGGGCTTTTAGGCAGGCTAGGAGTGACAGTGACTTTGGTGTCTGATTTGACTCACTAACTGCTCCACATTTTACTGTTGCTACTAACCATGGTATAGTGGGGAGGGTGATGGTACCGGCTGAGGTAGGAGATGTGGTGCAGGGGTGACTGCTTACTTGGAGCAGACAGAGCGTGGCTGGGCCACACAGGCGTGGAGAGAGGACAGTGTGTCTGTGCTAGGGACACCTCGGCCCCTATAGGTTTATCGGCGCAGGAGCTCGAGACAGCAGTGCAGATCTGTAGCCTAAAGTTTCTTTTTCTCGTAGCAAATGACATTCATTTGAAGTGATCCGTTTTCAGAGAACAAGTGCCTTTTGTGAAAGGAGCCTCTCCAACTGTGTAACATTTTACTGTATCTCCTGCCTTTGCAGTAATTGGTATCTCCTCAAAACAAGTATTACTATAGTTTTCTTGAAGTTTAACAGTGTCCTGTGCACTGTTGCTGTTAGCTTCGGGTCTCTCTGGACAGGCAGGTAGCTGTGCTAAGCCCTGTCTCTCACAGAGCCTCACAGGTGTCCTTGCTGCTGAGACACTGTGCAGCTCAGTTCCATTTAATGCTCCTAATAACCTGGCTATTTCCTCTTTTTAGTCACTGAACAGCAGATTGCCGAAAAGGTGAAGACTACCACAAAGGAGAATGCACAACTTGCAGAAAAATTGTCAAGTTATGAACAGAAGGTAGAACCTCTCACGGGCCCTCCTCTAGCGTGTCTGTGGTGTAGCTCAGCTATTACGGTATTTTGAAGGCCTGTGTTCTCGCTTCATCATTTCCTCTGAGCCCTCCAGATCTTATGCTCCATCCTGTGTAAAGGGAACGCTCTGCTTGCTTCTTTGGAACAAGGTTTTACTAGCACAGTGACTTCTGTTACTTAGTTCTGAATGTGTTTTTTACATAGATCAATAAATCGCAGAGGCTTCTTCAGGAGACCAAGAATCAGAATAGGATTCTCTCTGAGGAAGCAATTAAATACAAGGTAAAAGTCCTTCTCTTTGGGGGATTATAGTCTAAAAACAAAAGCAAGCATTAATGCGTACTGTTACTTTTAATCTCTTTTCTTCTGGATAAAATCAAGGTGCTTGAAGAAAGCAAGGAATTTCTGGATGATATGGCCAGAACTCTTAGTGATATGTTAGAATGTGAGCGGAAACGCAACATGAAAAATCAGGATTTGGTGAGTTCTGCCGCTGCGTGTTACTAAAGGTGTATTTTTAGCTATTTCGTAAATCAGTTGAGCTGTTTCCATGCTATTAACTTCATAAGACTAGGAATAACAGAACTGAACATGCCTGTACCCATTTTGTGGGATTTTTAGTACTAGTTCAGTAGAATGTTTTTATAGGCACGGGAAGTGTTTTGATCCTGAATCTTGGATAATTTCATAGTTGTGTCCTCCAGAACACACAGTCACTAAAAAATTGGTCCAGCTGAGTAGTCTGTGTAAACTGGTTTTATTTCACAGTGAACTCTGTGCCTTTCGAATAGTCTGCAAATCCCCTAAGCGGAAATGTAGTGAGGAGAGTTCTCATGCTTCCCACCTCCTGTGTGGCCTGGTCCTTTGCTCAGCACATACCTGGTGAATTGCCCATTTTCAGTCCTTTGTGCACCATGCTGTTTGGCAGGAAGTTATGACATACAACCTGCAGTTAAAAGAACGGTGGGTTAGGGTCACCCCTTGAGCCAGTATTGTCATAAATATTGAGAAATTTGGCACATGAGATTTTTCTATTCCCCCAGAAACACTTTTTTTTCTATTGGTTTATTTTGGTTTTGTCTTTTTGAGACTGGGTTCTGTTATGCAGTTCAGGCTGGCTGTGAACTCACCTTGTAGCCTAGGCTGGCCTTAAACTCTCCTGCCTCAGCTTCCTGAGTGCTGGGATTACAGGCGTCCTCCACCATACCCAGCATTCTTACCATTTTTAATTCAGACAAGAACATGTTTAAAGTGATCTTGGAGCTTTTTTTTTTTTTTTGGTGCCAGGGATCGAACTCATGACCCAGTGCTTGGCGGGCAGGCATTTAATGCTGCTGAGCTAAATCTCCAGACCTTTTGGGGCTTGTTTTCCTGACACCAGAAAAAGCTGTTCATTTTCCGTGGTTTGCTTGAACATTTCTTTATACTATGTCATGTGGTTACCCCAAAACTTGAGGGTGCCATGAAACTCTTGACTTCAGTTTTTTCTCTCAGCTCTTTAAGCAGATTTTTTCCCCAGACCATGTTTAATCCCGATTTTACCTAAAACATAGTGGATAGTTTGGGGTACCTTGTAGTAACGTTTTTGTTCTTTAGCATATGTATCAGTGTTTCTCCCACAGTCCTAATGCGTTCTGTGTGTTCCTTGCTTCCGTGGCAGGTCCTGGAAAATGAGAAATCTGTGGAGAAGCTAAAGGAGGTTATTTCGATGAATGCCTCAGAATTTTCCAAGGTAAGGCTGTCCACACTCCCTGCCGGTGTCAGTGTCGAGACTCAGCTGCATGGAGCAGTGGTGACCTGATGAGTGCTGAGAGCCGTGGAAGGCAGAGGCCGTGCATGATTGAGGGGCAGGGCTGGGGGCCCCTCCCTGGCGTGGCTCATGAACAGTCGTGTTGTGCGTTAGGTTCAGGTCACCCTGAATGAAGGCAAGTTGAGTGAGGAGAAGGTGAAGTCTGAGTGCCACCAGGTTCAGGAAGAAAACACAAGGCTGAAGAAGAGAAGAAAGTGCAGATTTTGTAAATGTTTGGTCAGAATGGGTGCAAAACCCATCGACTTTAGCTCTGTCATCTTCTCTCATGAGGAGCTGCTTATGCAGGCCCCTGCAGCAAGCTGGGGAGCATCGAGTCTGTCCTCCCCAGCTTGCACATTACTGAGGGCACAGGCTCCTTTTGTGTTTCTCGTGGATTTTCAATTCTGTAAATTGATGGCAGTTCTTGGCCCTTGTCTTGTTAGATACTAGTCATTACTTTGGCCTCAGCAAGGCCAGGGGTTGGCTTTTTAAACCTCAGATTTAAGGCTTTGCTAAGCCTCCTCTAATAGTTACTGCCTCACATTGGCCATAGGAAGGTTAGATCAGGGATCTGTGATCAACACACACACACACTGAGGCCAGAAATCCCACGGCTAGCTGCCAGCAGCTTCCATTTGAATGGGTTATGTTCCTGCTAGGGGGATACACAGGATAGTCCCATTAGGTGGTAAGGACAGTCCTGCATGCCCTGCAGCAGTTCATGCCAGTGGGAATATGTTAAGCCCCAGCAATACATGCCCACGGGTGCCACCTGGAAGTCAGGCATTTGAGTCAGCAGGCATTTTTCAGAAGGACTTGATGGCTGGGGTCAGCTTCGTTGACAGCTCAGGGTAGAAGTCACACTCTGCAGGCCTGAACCAAGTCTTAGCCTCTGCGATGGGACAAGGAGGGACATGACTCCTGCTTCCCCATCCCACTTGCATGGTCCTGTGCCTCTGTGGAATCCCCAGTCCGCAGGGACCCTTCCATGTGACTTTCAGCTAGAGCAGGAAGTTGAAGACCAGAAGAAGCTGAACGCTGAACTCAGCCAGCGAGTCAGGACGTTGGAAAAGTCTCAGAGGGATCTGGAAGCCACTCTCCATGATAAGGATGATAGCATTGGTGTAAGTTACCCCAGCCGGCCCAGCCTGATCATGAACACTTGGAAAACAAACCCACTGTGAGGATGGAGAGGCTCTTAACTGCTGCTCGCTTCTCTGCTAGGCTCTGAACAACTGCATCATGCGGCTGAACCGGATGGAGGAGAGGAGATCGGAATCTGAGGGTCCAGGTCCAGGCAGATGTGAGCCAGGTGAATTAGCCAATGGAGAAGTGGGAGGTAAGACCGGCCCTAGCCCAAGGGCCTTTTTTTTTTTAACCAGGGATCTAACTCATGACCATGCACTCACCAGGCAGGTGCTTGTGCCACTGAGCTAAATCCCCAGCCCTTCAAGGGCCCTTTTTTGTCTTCTTCTCTTTATTGTTATTTTAGACAAGGTCTCTATGTAGTGGCTGGCCTTGAACTCACTGTGTAGCCCATACCGGCCTCAAACCCACAGCAAAATTTCTACCTCAGTCTCCTAAGCATTTTTGTCTTTAATTCCATACATGGATACTGCTTCTCAGCTGAGTTTCTTCTTGCCCCAACTGACCCATGCAGCTCTTTAGGTTCTTAGTGTGAAGGACCACAAGAGGATGAGAAAATAGACAAATCTGGGGTCAGGTGGAGCCCTTACCCTCCTCATGGGAAGAAAGGAACTGGCCCCTCACTGCAGGGGCGTTTATACGTTTTAGCAACTTAATGTCATGTGATGCCCTGTTGTCCTAGCAGCCCACTGTTCAGATTGTCTTGGGGTTTGGTGATCTCTGGGCTGAGGCAGCTTCTTCACATGGCAGTCCCAGGGGCTCTTTGTTCTTGGGCCAGCCATGCCCTGGCCCTGCACATGTGGTCGGTTTCCAGCTTCAATGGCTCCCAACATCTGAATAATTTGTACTTATGTCTGGGTCACTGGGGTGCAGTAGCAGCAGGCAAGTGGGGAAAGCTGCTTTTCCACCCCTTGAGAACTGGATGTGTACGCTGGAGCCTTTGCCTTTGTGTCGGCCTCTGTGCCAGAGAAGACACTCACTCAGCTTTCTGGAGATGACACACGGGTCCGTACTCACGGCCTCTGCTGTTCTGTGGTTCTCAGGCACTTGGCCAGGGTCACCTAGAGTGTGGGGATGGGGAGCCACAGCCCAGGCTGTGAGGGCAGAGGCTGGAGAGCAGCAGGGTCTGAGATGAGGAAAGTGGTCAGGGTGCCGCCCAGCTGCAGAGGGTGCTCAGAGTGCGAGTCTGGACCCACGCCGGCCAGCTCCCCCTAGACCATCATGTGGCAGAGCTAGGCTTGCTCAGCCACAGGCCAGGTGGCATGCTGTCTTGGCAGGAGCTTACAAAATCTAAGGGTGCAGTTGTCATGAAAGTCAGTGTGTCAGTTCTGTTGGTGAATTGTTTTTCTTTACAGTGTTTGATGAGCATTAGTTTAGTTTTGTGGAAGTCAAGACAACAGTGTTAGAAACGGCACAGGAAGACACAGCCACACTTGTTCTCTTTGTAGGTGGGGAGAGTAAGATCAAGGCTCACATGCACCGGCTGATGGATGTCTCCCAGGTGAGTCCCTTCACAGAGTCCCCCCAGGGGCCCATGAGTCCTGACTGAGCCTTACTTTCAAGCCTGTGCCCCTCCCTCACAATTTTCAGACACATTCCACAATATCCGTATTTCAGAAAGATCTCCAACTCCTGCAGTTGAAGCTGAGAGCCTCCCTGTCTGCCAAATGTGATCTGGAAGGTAGGTCCCTGACCGCATGGTGGTCAGGCTGAGTGCCGGCATGAATGAGGCAGGGATGCTGGGAGCCTGGTTCTGTGTCTTTGGCGGTGCCCTTGGTGATGTGTCTCACCTCCCAGACCAGATCGTGAAGCTAGGTGAGGACTGCGGCAGGCTGCAGGCAGACAAGGCCCGGATGGAGGAGGAGTTTAGCATGCTGCAGCAGAAGGTGGAGATCCTGAAGGAGCTGTCCCACCAGAAGGAGCTGGAGCTGCAGAAGTGAGTCCCAGAGATTTTGTCCAGTGTCTCATGCTGGCCATTCCTGTCACTTCTGATTGCCTAGCAGCTTGGATGTGCAGTGATCATAGAGGAAACTTGGGGCCCAGGGTGCTGCTGGTTTCCTGTGATGGCGACCTGAGGCTGCTCCTGCCTGTCCGCCGTCACCATCATCCAGCTAGCAGTTGGGCCCAGTGTCCCTGCCTCTGTAGCCTCAGCTCCACTGCTTATTTCTTAAAGCCTAGGGATTTGTCGAGGGCTCAGTTCAGCATCTTTGGCATTGTCCTCCATGTGTGGGTTGAAGGAGGGCAGCACTGGCCTCTGGGGCCCACATTTCGCTTTCTGGCTGGGGCCAAGTCTCCCATCCACCCATTTGGCCTATCTTGTGTGCTTATCATGGCCTAGGTCTAGAGAAACAGCTCTTCCCAGACAGTATGTGGGGAGGGAGGGAGGTGGACTCCGCCTATTGCTTTCCCAGCAGCTCTGCTGGACAATCCTGGCTTCCCTCGGGGAACACTCATCTCCCACACAGGCAGCTAGAGCCTGGCGCATGCTGTGCTCTTAACTTGTTCTGTTTGCTGATTAGACAATTACAAGGAGAGGTGAGAGAATATAAGAACACAAGCAAATGGCCCAGAGCCTGGAGCTTGACTGCCCTCCTGAAACCCTGTGCCTGCTGCTGGGTGGGGAAGTGGCCTGTGGGCCGAGTTCAGCCCTGGCAGCTGCCTTTCTCCTAGGATACTGAGTCAGGCGGAATGTGCACAGCAGCAGCGAGAGCAGGCGCTGTTGGCTGTGGATGAGAAGGTGGTGCCGGCCACAGAGGAGGTGAAAATCTACAAGTGAGTGTGGCGTCCGAGACAGAGGAACTGGGCTGAGTTGCTTTGTTACATAGAAGAGATGGGCACAGAAGCACATGAGAAGCCCAAGAATGGAATGTATTTAACTCACACGGGGAGGGGTTCTACATTAACAGACAGAAGCTTGTTAACAGCGAAGCTCCTTTGCAGATGTGTCCTGTGCCCATTTTTAGGAAATCGGCCTGCTTCTGTCACACGTCCACACCCACCAGAGTCTCAGTGCTCCGACAGACCGGGGGCAGCATTTTGAGTCATTTCTTGTGGCTATAATTTGAGGGGAAAACCTTTTTTTTTTTAATCAGTACCGGGGATCAAACTTACGACCGCCCGCTTTGCAAGGCAGGTGCTTATGCCGCTGAGCTAAATCCCCATCCCCTGAGGGGAAAACCTTTATGGGGAAGGTAGCCTTAGCCAGATTATTTTGAGAATGTTATTCAAGGACAGTTAAGGAAATTGACAAGTTGTCAACTCATAATCTCTAGGCATTAAATGAAAAATCAGGAAACTGAGGTTCACACTGCACTCATCACGTTATGAAATGTTTCTGTATGATGAAGTCTTTAAAGGTCAGACATGGTCAGATTGTTGCAGAATTTATTTGATTCTAACTGCTAAGTATTATTTTTAGGCGGCGAATCCATGAAGTGGAAGCAGAATTAGAGAAAACGGAGCGCTCATTTAAAAACCAGGCAAGGAATAGAGTGCGCTGTGGTGACAGCACCCGTTAATCCCCCACACAGGAGTCATGGAGGGCTGCAGCCCCGGTGACTGGTCCCTCAACCTGCGTCTTGCCCTGTTCTCTTGCAGCTTGCTACTGAGAAGAAAAAAGCCCATGAGAACTGGGTAAGAGCCTCCTCCTCGCCTCGCCTCGCCTCGCCCTCTCCAGCTTCACTCAGCCACTGTGCTGAGCTGGCCTCTCTGTCTCCACAGCTCAAAGCCCGAAACGCAGAGCGCCTGGTGGCAGATGAGAAGCGGCAGGCCGCCAACCTGCGGCAGAGGTTAGCAGCGCATGGCGCTATGCGTGGCGCCCACGTTTCAGCCCACTCAGGGTGGCTATGGTCACCCCCAGCCCTACTGTGTCTGTGTGCAGGCTGGTGGAAATTACCCAGAAGCTGGATATGCTTAAAGAGGAGCCTGGGATCATCAATCGGATGCCAGACTGTCCTGGAGTGCAGAACGCGCCCCACAGAGGTGGGCACTCTGTCCTTCTGAGTGGGACTCGGGGAACTTAGCCACTGCAGAGAACTGGTAACCAGCGCGTGTGTTGTCTCCTCAGGTCCCCTGAGCCAGAAGGGCTCCTTTGGCCCGTCCCCTGTGAGTGGCGGTGAATGCTCCCCGCCCCCAGGCGCACAGCCCCCTGGATGGCCGCCCTCTGCAAGCCTGAACTTGGCACGCCATGACATTGCAAGAGCCGACTTCGGTGAGCCTCTCCAGGGCCTCTAGTCCCGGACTCCGGGACACCATGCTGCCTTGCCCCGGGCATGGTTCCCTGAGCTCTGGTACAGAGCCCGGGCAGTCCCGGCTCAGGTTTCCACTTATCCCTGGGCCCTGTGCAGGCCCACCTCGATTGCAGTGCAGGAGCAGGGTCCTGGGAGCAGTCGCCCACCCCGTCACTCCCAACCCTCTCTGGCTGTGGCATGGCAGAGGCCGCAGTGTCGCCCTCTCCCTCTCTGCACAGTGTTCAATGAGTGGGCGCACTTTCGTCACCACTCATCCCACTCCGGGCCACCGGGGAAGGCTCCTGAGCTGGCAGGTCCACGTGTTACAGGTCTGTGTGCTGCTCCCAAAGCACGTGGCCACTGTGTGCGGGCTCAGTCTTCCGCGGCCCTGTCTTCCTCCTCCACAGCCTGAGACCTAAAGCAGCCTCCGCCTCTGGCTTGGGCTGCCACAGCGCAGCTTTCCCAGCTCCCCGGGTCCACGAAGTGCTGACCAGGTGGAGCCCGCGCAGGCTCAGAGGCCTCCTTCGACCCCCCCCTACCCTCACCCCCACCCCCACTTGACGCCTGCTCAGTGAGCCTGGTACCTCTGGCTCCACTCGAGGGCTCCCTGGCCTCCTGCCTCCCAGGGGCCTTGCAGCTGCCTCTCAGAGGCAGCCATGCCTCTGCTCCCTCCAGGGACTGTCCTTGGGGCTCTGGAGTGTTCTCGAGGGCACTTCCGAGGGCGTGCCTGTGGCCTCTTCCGGTCCTCGTCCTCATCCTCGTCCTCGTCCCCGACCTCGTCCCTGCCCTCGTCCCCGTCCTCGTCCTCGTCCTGGGAAAGTCCTCTGAATGCCTTGTCTGCCCCCAGATCCCGGCCCTGGCCCCGTGGCCAACAGCAGCTCCCGCGGCTCCTCTCCAGTGAAGGACATGGACAACGCCAAGGTGAGCCTGGAGCCCGTGCCTTGGCCCACGCTGCTCCATGGGCCCTCCGTTTCCCCTCTGTTCTCCAGCTGGCCTGGGCGTGGCGACCCTGCTGACTAGGTCACCATCTGACTGGGGCCTTCACTAAGGCTGGGGCCACGTGCTGAGTGCTGGAGCACAGCACACCTCATGCCCCTGACTTGAGTGTTTGGTTTGGTACTTATTTTGAGTCAGGGTTTCCTTATGCAGCTCAAGCTGAACTTGACCTCACAGTACCCAGAGCCGACCTGCAGTTCCCTAGCAGTCCTCCTGCCTCAGCCTCCCGAGTGCGGGATGACTGGTGTGCATCGCCACACTCGCGTGCCCTTGATATTTGGGAGCAGCTGGTGGGGTCCTCAGGGTCTGTGCTAGGCAGACCCCTTGCAATGATGGAGATGAGGTGGGCGTGGGCTCTTGTGGGAGTGGGAAGCCGGTTCCAGGGCCACCTGAATCCGACCCCGGGCGGCCCAGGCTGCTGTGCCTCCTGGGTCCTGAGGCTGCTGCCTTGGCAGCCTTCACACCGCATGGGGCCGCCTGCAATGGTCAGAGCTCCATGGACTGCCTTCCAAGCAGCCCAGGCCCAGGCGCCTCCGCCAGCCCCTCCCTGTGCAGTGTCAACTGGCCGAGGCAGCTTCCTGTTCTCCCCAGCGACCCCGGGTCCCTGGGAGCCCTTGTGTCTGCCTGTCGTGCCCAGGGCCTCGCTCATGCTGGCAAGAGTGCAGCGAGCTGGCGCAGCGCCCCGCTGGCACCTCTGGAGCTCATCTCCACACCCGAGTGGGGACAGCGTGGTGACCATGCTCGCTGTGTGGCGTGCTGCTCACGAGGGCCCGGCAGGGTCCGGGGATCCCTTGACTCCTCTCGGGATGGGCACCCGGTGCCACTGCCGAGCTCGAAACTGGGCCTGCTTCTGTTCGCAGGTGAGCATGGCCGTGAAGGGGCCCCCAGCCCATCCAGGGCCCCCGTTCCTGGGAGGCCCCATGCCGCCCCACATGGGCTATGGGTCGCCACCGCCACCACTGCTCTGCAGGCCCTTCGGGCCTCGGCCGATGTCTCCTAGGCCACCGCCACCATTCGGTACGGTAGGACACTTGGGCTGGCACCACCGCCTACCCTGTCCTCTCGCCTACCCTGTCCTCTCTCCTCTCCTGTCCTGATCGGCAGCTGCAGCCTGCCAGACTCTAAGCATGAGGCCCAGCACTCTGAGCCCAGTGCAGCCTCCACAGCTGCTTGGACCAGAAGGGCCCTTTCGGCAGAGCCGAAGTGCCAGTCTCAGCGGGGTGGTCACCTGGGATGCCACAGGCCACCGGCAGTGGGAGAAGGGAGGGTCAGGCTGTGGTTGAGCCTTACTGAGCCTCAGTTTTCCTTATCTGTGAAGTCCAGTGCATCACTCGACTTCCTGGTGCAGGGGAAGGGAAACCCTTGCAGCAGAGCTGGGCTGCTCCTCAGGACGTGTCCGCATGTCCCTCTTGCTTTCCAGTCACACGCATGGGCCCACCACTGGGCTTAAGAGACTATGCGCCCGGCATGCTGCCCGGTCGCCACGACCTGCCGCTACATCCTGGCGAGTTCTTGCCGGGACCTGTGCCATTCAGGCCTCCAGGCCCGCTCGGCGCCCGAGCGTATTTCATTTCAGATCCACGAATGCCACCACCACCCACTGGACTCCAGGACTACCGACCACCGCCTGCTGGGCCCGAGGAATACCCACCGCCAACTGCCGGGCCCCAGGACTTCCCACCGCCACCTGCCGGGCCCCAGGACTTCCCACCGCCACCTGCCGGGCACCAGGCCTACCCACCACCACGTGCCAGGTGCCAGCACTACACACCATCGCCTGCCAGGCCCCAGGACTACCCACCGCCGCCTGCCGGGCCCCAGGACTTCCCACCGCCACCTGCTGGGCACCAGGCCTACCCACCACCACGTGCCAGGTGCCAGCACTACGCACCATCGCCTGCCAGGCCCCAGGACTACCCACCACCACCTGCCGGGCCCCAGGACTTCCCACCGCCACCTGCCGGGCGCCAGGCCTACCCACCACCACGTGCCGGGCGCCAGCACTACGCACCATCGCCTGCCAGGCCCCAGGACTACCCACTGCCGCCTGCCGGGCCCCAAGACTTCCCACCGCCGCCTGCCGGGCGCCAGGCCTACCCACCACCACGTGTCGGGCGCCAGCACTACGCACCATCGCCTGCCGGGCCCCAGGACTACCCACCACCGCCTGCCGGGCCCCAGGACAACCCACCGCCGCCTGCCGGGCGCCAGGCCTACCCACCACCACGTGCCGGGCGCCAGCACTACGCACCATCGCCTGCCAGGCCCCAGGACTACCCACCGCCGCCTGCCGGGCCCCAGGACTTCCCACCGCCGCCTGCCGGGCGCCAGGCCTACCCACCACCACGTGCCGGGCGCCAGCACTACGCACCATCGCCTGCCGGGCCCCAGGACTACCCACCACCGCCTGCCGGGCCCCAGGACAACCCACCGCCGCCTGCCGGGCACCAGGCCTACCCACCACCACGTGCCGGGCGCCAGCACTACGCACCATCGCCTGCCGGGCCCCAGGACAACCCACCGCCACCTGCCAGGCACCAGGCCTACCCACCACCACGTGCTGGGCGCCAGCGCTACCCACCACCGGCTGCCAGGCCCCAAGACTACCAACCACCACGTGCCGGGCGCCAGGCCTACCCACCACCGCCAATCAACCTATTACTACTAATTATCCCAATCCTCCTAGCCATAGCATTCTTAACCTTAACAGAACGCAAAACTACCCATCGCCAACTGCCGGGCCCCAGGACAACCCACGACCACCTGCTGGGCCCCAGGACAACCCACGACCATCTGCCGGGCCCAAGACAACCCACCGCCACCTGCCGGGGCCAAAGACTACCCACCACCACCTGCCGGGCCCCAGGACTACCCATCTCCTCCTGCCGGGCCCCAGGACTACCCATCTCCTCCTGCCGGGCCCCAGGAATACCCACCGCCACCAGCCGGGCCCCAGGATTACCCACCGCCTTCTGCCGGGCTCCAGGAATACCCATCTCCTCCTGCCGGGCCCCAGGACTACCCATCTCCTCCTGCCGGGCCCCAGGACTACCCATCTCCTCCTGCCGGGCCCCAGGACTACCCATCTCCTCCTGCCGGGCCCCAGGACTACCCATCTCCTCCTACCGGGCCCCAGGAATACCCACCGCCACCTGCCGGGCCCCAGGACTACCCATCTCCTCCTGCCGGGCCCCAGGACTACCCATCTCCTCCTGCCGGGCCCCAGGACTACCCATCTCCTCCTGCCGGGCCCCAGGACTACCCATCTCCTCCTGCCGGGCCCCAGGAATACCCACCGCCACCAGCCGGGCCCCAGGATTACCCATCGCCTTCTGCCGGGCACCAGGCCTACCCACCACCACGTGCCAGGTGCCAGCACTAGGCACCATCGCCTGCCAGGCCCCAGGACTACCCACCGCCGCCTGCCGGGCCCCAGGACTTCCCACCGCTGCCTGCCGGGCGCCAGGCCTACCCACCACCACGTGCCGGGCGCCAGCACTACGCACCACCGCCTGCCGGGCCCCAGGACTTCCCACCGCCACCTGCCGGGCCCCAGGACAACCCACCACCACCTGCCGGGCGCCAGGCCTACCCACCACCACGTGCCGGGCGCCAGCACTACACACCATCGCCTGCCAGGCCCCAGGACTACCCACTGCCGCCTGCCGGGCACCAGGCCTACCCACCACCACGTGCCGGGCGCCAGCGCTACCCACCACCGGCTGCCAGGCCCCAAGACTACCAACCACCATGTGCCGGGCGCCAGGCCTACCCACCATCGCCAATCAACCTATTACTACTAATTATCCCAATCCTCCTAGCCATAGCATTCTTAACCTTAACAGAACGCAAAACTACCCATTGCCAACTGCCGGGCCCCAGGACTGCCCACTGCCACCTGCTGGGCCCCAGGACAACCCACTGACGCCTGCCGGGCCCCAGGACTTCCCACCGCCACCTGCCGGGCGCCAGGCCTACCGACCACCGCCAATCAACCTATTACTACTAATTATCCCAATCCTCCTAGCTATAGCATTCTTAACCTTAACAGAACGCAAAACTACCCATCGCCAACTGCCAGGCCCCAGGACAACCCACGACCACCTGCCGGGCCCAAGGACTACCCACGACCATCTGCCGGGCCCAAGGACTACCCACGACCATCTGCCGGGCCCAAGACAACCCACTGCCACCTGCCGGGGCCAAAGACTACCCACCACCACCTGCCGGGCCCCAGGACTACCCATCTCCTCCTGCCGGGCCCCAGGACTACCCACCGCCACCTGCCGGGCCCCAGGAATACCCACCGCCACCTGCCGGGCCCCAGGACTACCCATCTCCTCCTGCCGGGCCCCAGGACTACCCATCTCCTCCTGCCGGGCCCCAGGAATACCCACCGCCACCTGCCGGGCCCCAGGAATACCCACCGCCACCTGCCGGGCCCCAGGACTACCCATCTCCTCCTGCCGGGCCCCAGGACTACCCATCTCCTCCTGCCGGGCCCCAGGAATACCCACCGCCACCTGCCAGGCCCCAGGACAACACAGCACAGCCTGCCGGGCCCCAGGACAACTCACCGCCGACTGCCGGCCCCAGACTACCCACCACCATGTGATGGGCCCCAAGACTACCCACTGCCGCCTGCCGGGCACCTGGCCACCCACCACCAAGTTCCGGACCCCAGGACTACCCATTACCCCCTGCAGGGACCAAGAGTACCCACCGCCGCCTGCCGGGCCCCAGGAATATCCACGGCCACCTGTCAGGCCCCAGGACATCCCACCGCCCTCTGCTGGGCTCCAGAACTATCCATTGCCCCATGTTGGGCCCCAGGACTACCCACCGCCAAGTGCTGGTCCCCAGGACTACCCACCGCCAAGTGCCGGTCCCCAGGACTACCCACCGCCAAGTGCCGGTCCCCAGGACAACACACCACCACCTGCCGGACCCCAGGACAACCCACGACTGCCCAGGACTAGCCACTGCCACCTACTGGGCCCCAGGATAACACACCGCCACCTGCCGTGGCCGAAGACTAACCACAGCCACCTGCCGGGCCCCAGGACTCCCCCACCATCTGCCGGGCCCCAGGACTACCCACCATCACCTGCCAGGCCCCAGGACTAGCCACCGATGCCTGCCGGGCCCCAGGACTACCCACCACCTCCTGCCGGGCCCGAGACTACCCACCACCATGTACCAGGCCCCAGGACTACCCACCTCCACCTGCCGGGCCCCAGACTACCCACCACCGCCTGCTGGGCCCCGGAATACCCACCCCCGCCTGCTGGGCCCCAGGACTACCCATTGCCGCCTATTGGGCGCCTTTTTCTCCTATGGGTCTGCGCTTATTTCTAGGACTGATAAAAGTTCTCTCCAGTTAACTGCAGCCTTGATGTTTCCTGATTTGCCCCCAACTACAGATTAAAGTAATGTACTTGTATTGCACAGTTATTTCTGGATAGTGGAATGACTTGTTTTGTTTTTTTACATTTTAGCATCAGGTTTCACTCTCTTTCCTAGGCCAGTCTCAAACCCCTGGGCTCAAGTGATCCTTGAGTGCTTTAGCTGCCTGAGCAGCTAGGATTGCAGACCTCACAACCAGTAACTATTTTTTGAAAAACTTCAGTGAGGTACAAATATGTTCAGCAGCAACAAAAGAGTGTAAGCACTGGCCTCTCTCTGCTGGGATAAGTGCACTGCTGCACCAGAGACAGGGAGGGCAAGTACCAAGCAGATGCCTGTCACCTCCTCAGTACGGCAGGAGTGCCCAGGGCCCACGTGGGCTGGATGCTGCTGGGCTGCACCTGCTTCCCTGTCCCCACTAAAGATGCCCTGAAGGCCTGGTGCTCCCTCTCTACCCAGAACACAGCGCTCACATAGGCTGCTGCCTACCCAGAACACAGTGCTCCCATACACAGCCACGGCCACAACCTGGCCTGAATCCCGGGCCTGCTTGCCGGCCAGCCCCTATCAGGGACACGCCCCGTTCCTGGCTTTCTCCCTCCCTCCCTCACTCCTCCTCCGTCTCTTTCCCCCACCTCTTCCCTTCCTCCACCGCCCCAGGCACATGCCCACCCCGACCCCGCACCCCACCTCCTCGCACAGGAGAAGCACACCCCACGTAGACAGTTGGCGCTCAATAAGTGCCCAGGCCCCTCTGTGCACATGCACACTTGAACCTGACCTAGTGGTGACCCCCCCTCGACTCCGCCCCCAAATCCGAACTGCCAGCTGCAGCCCCGAACCAAACTTTTTTTTTTTTTTTTTTTTGTACTGAGCTGCTGCAAACCCTGCCACAGTTTCTCGCTGTTGTCTTTCCAGGCCTGGCTCTGGGACAGGCTTCTCCGAGAGAGGCCCAGCTTGCCCCAGGGCTAGAGAGGAAGCCAGAAAACTGCGGGCCGTGGAGGGGGGGGGGGTGTGTGCAGAGCTTGGAGCGGGCCACAGGGACTAGAGGCCCTGGTATCAGCGCGGGATGGCACAGCGCAAGGGAGGAAAACCAACCTTTCCATTTGCTTCTGAGTGTTCTCCTGCTCACTTTAGGACAACTCCCTGGTTTGTAGTTGAAAGGCAAGGTGTTTTTTACCGATTCTGGAATTCAATGGGAGAAAGTTAACTGTTAGCATTCAACCCTCATGTAAACAATACTGGCTGCTTTTGGTACCATCAGGCCCTGGCTTTTGTATAATTTGTAACAAGTAGAATTGAAGCCGTTCCATTGTGTTGCTCTGTGTTTGTTCTAGATAAGACCAGAGCCTCAAGTGTAGTACAGGGACCAGGGTGTCTATTTTGAGGGCACACTGTATATATTTATATTGTGCATTTAATGCACACAAGAGGAATCATACCTCCCCACCCTGAGAGCAGGAGGAGGGGTCTGAGGAGTCCTTGGTCTTTCTAGGGAGTGGCAGATGGTGGAGTTTCTGAGTCACTTGAGAGGGTGGCCCTGATTTACTGGCCTGAGGATGGAAGGAGGTGGCTTGGGAGACCCCCCCCTCCAGTGTAGCTGTTTTCATGAAACATGAAGGGGAGACCCACATCTCCCTGAGAGACAGGCAGGACCTAAGGAATCATCAGCCATCTCAGCCTCTTCTTCAGGGGTCTCTTGGGCCTTTGCAGAGGAGGCTTCCAGATAGAACCATGAAAACCTGGACAGACGGGACTTTAGTCCACTTTCCTTGACTTTTATGAGGAAGATCTAACTGAAGAAGAGCATTATAACTTATAGACTGCCATTCTGTGCCATCTCTCACCATTTCTGAGTTGATGTGGAAGCCAAACAGTACTGCCATAGAAAGTAAGTTATTTTTTCCTCAGATCCTCTGTGTCAAATGTTTCCATTTCTTAAGCCTAATGGTGAGGTCTCTGGGATCTTTGGAAGTTTCCAATGACACATCATGGGGCTTACGGAAAGAGATTAACCAGGTCTGGGATCCTTCTGAGGATGGCTCTGCAGAAGGACAGAGACTCATGGGGCTGATTTCAGCCAGTGCTTTGTATAATCACAACAATTACTGCTGCCAAATAGCCCGCAAAAGAAAAGAAGCTAAGGAAGGAAGGGAAGGGGAAAAAAGCAATCACAATTGAGAAGAAGAAGGAAATTGTGGAGAAATATGAGTGGCTTTTGTGTAAACAATTTTTTGTAAACAATTTTGTGTAAACAATTTCACCAATATGCACATATTCGCCATCTCCACAATCTTACAGAGAAAAGATCTGTATAAGGAAGCTAGTGTTGCTAAAAATGTCACTCAGGCTGGGGACTTAGCTCAGTGGTGCAGCACCTACCTGGCAAGTGTGAGGCCCTGAGTTCAATTCCCTGGACCCCAACCCACCCCCAAAAAGGCGTTACATTAAATCGCAATCAAGAGTGTTAGACAAGGCAGAAGGCTATCGGTGTGGATAAATGAAAGGCAGATGGCCAGTTATATTGCCTGAGCCTATAATTTGTGAAAAAGCTGGGGCTAGCTATAAATGCAAATTTCACAAAGGATAATCCATTCATGAGTGATAATGGTGAAACATTTTGTGTCAGTAAGGCATGGTGTCACAATTTTAAAATGAGAACTGGGGTCTAGAGCATGACTAGGCATGGTTGTGTGACCAGTGCTGATACAAGGGCGGCTGAAAACTACACACACCACTTCAAAAGCACAACATAGAAAAATGACTTTTTCTCTCATCAAGTTTTTAACTATGATGAAACTGGCCTCTTCTGGAAGCGAATGCCCAGGAGAACATACAGTACATTATTCAGGAAGAGAAGAAAACTGCCAGGCCATAAGCCTGTGAAGGACAGGCTAGCCTTATTTCTACATGCCAAGCAGGTGCCTCAGGATAAAGCCTCTCTTGGTTGATTACCCTGAGACCCCAGGCCTGTTCAGAAAACAGAAAATCAAGATGAATTGGCTCAGGGTCATGTGGACATCTAACACAAAAGCCTGGGTAACAGGAGTACATTCTCTTGAGCAGATCAGGGAGGCTTTCTGTCCTACTGCTAAACAATATCTAGAGGACATTACCATTCAAGGCTCTCCTTATCATGACAATGCTCCTGCTCACCCATGAGATCTGGAAGAGGAACTGGCTGAAGAATTCCCGTGGCTCTCAGTCAAGTTCCTCCCACCTAATACAACTCCTCCACTGCAGCCTGTGGAGCAGCAGGTTATAGCAAGCTTTGAGAAGCGATCCACCAAGAAGCTGCTCCTGCAGTGCTTGCAGGTGGTCTCAGATACAGGTGCAACCTTTAAAGAGTTCTGGAAGGAAAATTACATCCTTTCCGGTGTGGGGTTAGTTGAGAAATGCTGGGCCACTGTTTATCTAAGGACCCTGACATCTGCCTGGAACCACATGTAGCCTAAAATTACACAGGAGAGACTCTGAAGGGTACACAGAGGAGCCTGAGCCTTCCAGTGACCCTGTGATAGACCACACTGTCATGACAGCAGAGCCCGCAGGCTTGCAGGTGGACAGTGGTGACGTCCAGGAACTAGTAGAGGAACACTTGGGGAGCTGACTATGGAGGAACTGCACCAACTTCTGGCTGCCAGCAGAGAACGGCAGTGAGGAGCTTTCTGAACGATGGGGGTGGGGGGCATCAACACCCAGTTCGGCAAAGTTCTTCTAAAATGAGGGAAATCCTAAAAAAATGCATATAGTTTTAAACATGAAGGCCCACCAGACAGAGAAAAAGCCAATCGCTTATTTGCTTGTTAATGACAAGCTCATTTCATACTCCAGTCCAAAAAGAAAAGAAAGACACAGGTCAGTTTTTAGCTCTGAAAAGGCTGAGATCTGATGAGCCAGAAGCAAGGCCTAGTGGGCTGCAGACTCTCCCAAGAGAGAAAAGACACCCGAGAGCAGATTCCTGATGCTGTGGAGGAACTCTGTTTCCAAACAATGCCCACCTCCCACTTCATCCTCCCTTTCCCGAGCCAAAGGTGTCAACTTGAAGGTGAGTGAAAGGGTTGTGGCCCAGACACGACTCTGTAGCCAGGAAAGCCTCAACCTAAAGCAGGAGCCCCTCTCTCCCCCACCTCTAGGAATTTACCTGTGATGCCATCTTCCCGACCCTGGAAATTTACCTATGGCGCCAAACCTAGGACCAATGGGCTACCTGTGCATCCCTAATGCCCCCCTTAGGTTCCACCACACACCGAGGCTGCTTTTGTGCCTCACTGCACGTGTTCTGCAGGAGAGATGGCCGGACGCCAGCGGTGGAAGGTTCCGGTCATCTCTCTCCATATTCTCAGAATAAAGGCCGCTTTTTGTTTTATACTTCTCATCTTATGGAAATATTTTTCAGTGAGTACAGTATGAAACTGTTGTTTCTGGTAAACTAGGCACATTTTATATCTTCCTGGTGGATACACTGGGAAACAATTGGTGTTTCTGGTACATTACGCACATTATACAACCATTTTTATTATGAAACGGTTGTTAAGGGGTGCTTTGGGAGGTTCAGAATGCATTATGGGTATTTCCATTCTTTCTCATGGGAAAAATAATCTTGACTTACAAACAGTTTGAGTTACAACCAGCCCTCAGAATGAGCAAGTTTATAAGTCAATGGTCCACTGCTTGTGGAAACAGGATCCTTTCCATTTATCCTGGTAATAAAAGACTGTGGCGATCAGTTTTTTAAGGCAGTAAAGGTAGAAGCTTATTGTTTCAGCATTAAAAAATGCTTGGAAAGTTCCAAGTACAAACCTGGGTCTGTTATCTGCTGACTAAAATATGGCAGCTCTATTCCCACAGGCTTACCCAGGGGGTGACATTCGGAGCCCTCCCTTTGTTCCACCCAAGCCCCAAGGCACATGTTTCTAGATTACCTGAGTTTTGTCTCAGCAGAACTGATAGGATTATTTCCAAACAATGAGACGTATAAAACAAAAGAGGCCTTTATTCTAAGAACAGGGAGAGAGAGAACCAGCACCCCACTGCTGGAGTCTGGCTTTCTGTCTGGCAGACACGAGGCGTGAGGGGTGTGTAAGTAGCCTCGGTTTGGGGTGGAACCTAAGGGGGCATCAGGGATGCACGGGTAGCCCATTGGTCGTAGGTTTGGCACCACAGGTAAGTTCCCAGGGGCGGGAAAGATGACATCACAGGTAAATTCTGACGGGTGGGGGAGACAGGAGCTTCCTGGTTCCCCTTGAGGCTTTTCTAGCTACAGAGTCCTGTCTGGGCCGAAACCCTTTCATATACCGTCTTATGATTATTATTATGAAAAGGAGGGAAGATTTTTTAAAAACTATTTCCTGCTGGCAGGTGGCGCTGTACTGGAGTCTAGGGGAGTCCATGGGGTGGTGGTGGATGCCCAGGTAGATTCTGGTGCCAGGTGGTTTAGCCAGGACAAATCACTGGTGAATGCACGGATGTTAGACTGGAAAAACAAAGAGACAAGATGTTATGAGGAGACGTGGCACTGTCATATTTAAGGAGCCAGATGAGGTAGAGGGAAACGTGCCTTTGATTTTAGCCATGTCATTATATCAGGATGACATTGAAGTAGTGTCATTGTCACAGTGACATAGAATTCTGAAAATTTAGTGTGAGGTTAGGAGAAATGATGTTATGAGAGGTGATTACTCCCCCATCTGAAAGCATAAAACTTAAGAGGGTAGGTGTGTAAATCTTGGCTCTGGTCCAGGAGTTAAACTGGAAAAACTGGGGGGAGTAGGGAAGGTGGTGGCTGTACCAGTATAGGGAAGGTAAGAGTTTAGGCTTTCAGGGATGTCACGCTTAACCAGACAGCTGAGGGTAGACAGAACTACCACAGTCATTGCATAGAGCATCATGAAGATGATCTTATGCATGATGTGGGAGTCTTTGGGAAAGACTGTCAAGAGTCCTGCTGTAGAAATGATCATGAATAGAACGGAAGAAATTAGGAACCAAAGTGGATAACAAAACATGACTTAGCCTGTTAACTGTGGCTGCGAGGCCTTCGTGAAACAGAGACAGGTGAGCGACAGAAGATGAGATGACCACTCAGAATGATCAGATTTAGGGCTGGGAGGGCACCTCTTAGCCTGAGTGATGTGAAACCAGGATGGGAGTCCAGCAACTTTGACCACTGTAGGGGTAGCCAAGTAGACCAGATGGGGGCCACTCCACCTTGGTGGTAGTCCTGTGGATTTAGAACATTTGAGATAAATTAGATCTCCTGGGGATAGGGGAGGATCTGGCTTGGCTTCTCCAGAGGGTTGTGGAAGGCAGAGATCAGCATGTTGTCACAACAGGTGTCAGAGGAAGGAGAGGACTGGGACATAGTCAGCCAGGGGAGGGAGATTTTGGGGAGTAGGAAGATTGTGGAGTAAGAATGGCCTGCCGTACCTAAGTTCAAAAGTACTTAGGAAAGTAGGAGCCCGGGGGAGTGCCCTGAGCTTGGCTAAGGCTAAGGGCAAAAGTTGAGGCCAAGGTTGGTGTAGTTCTAAAGTGAGTTTTGTAAGGTGTGTCTTATGAGGCCATTTGCCTGTTCTACTTTTCCTGAGGATTGTGGATGGTATGGGATGTGTAGGTGTCAGGTGATGTGTAAGCTTGAGGATACCTGTTGAGTGATCTGAGAAATAAAGGCGGGACCATTATCTGACTGAATACTCTGAGGTAGACCAAACCTTGGAATGATTTCTTGTAATATGACTTTGGTAACTACATCAGCAGTTTCCCTGGTTGTGGGAAAGGCTTCTATCCATCCTGAAAAGGTACAAACAAAGGTGAGAAGATAATTGAGAGTGCTGTGGCGGGGCATGTGTGTAAAACCTATCTGCCAGTCCTGACCAGGAGTGTGTCCTCGAAACTGATGGGTAAGAAAGGAAGGGTGTGCCATGCATCCCTGAGGAGTGGTCCTGGCACAGAGATCACAGGTGTGAGTAATCTTAAGAATGATAGATTTTACAGAAGGGTGTGTGACTACTGGGGCTAAGAGTTTGTATAGGGCCTGTGATCCTATATGAAAACAGTTGTGTAAGTCCGTGATGATGTCTAAGTCCTGTTGTTGTGGGAGAACAAGTTTAGATCTCTGAAAAATCCATCCCTGAGTGTTTTGTGTGTAACCTGGTTCATTAAGTAGTTGTAACTTCTCTGGTGAATAATTGGGCTGAGGTAGACTGTTTGGGACTAACAGGAGAAGATGAGGAGGGCAGGGCCCTTGTGCAGCTAACTTGGCTTGTGAATCTGCAAAGGCATTGCCTTGAGCAGTAGGATCTGTAGAGTTCTGGTCTCCTCTACAATGAATAACTGCTGCCTGCTTTGGAAGTTGGGCTGCCTCTAGAAGTTTAAGGATAAGGGGAACATTAATGATGGGGGTTCCCTGAGTGGTAATAAAACCCTGTTCTTGCCAGATAGAGGCATGAGAGTGTAAAATGCTAAATATATACTTTGAGTCAGTGTATATATTTATAATCTTATTTTTTGCTAGTGTAAGAGCCCTTGTAAGGGCAATAAGTTCTGCCCTCTATGAGGAGGTGCCAGGTGGCAGTGGATTTGCTTCTATAGCTTTTGACTGGTTAACTATTGTGTATCCTGCCTTCTTTTTGTTGTCTGTGTTTGTTGAACTGCCATCTATGAGCCATGTGTCAAAGGCCAAAGAGAGAGGTGTGCTACTGATGTGAGGGAAAGGGGTGGGAGGCATCTGTAAAAACTCAATACAGTCATGGTGAGGATGGCCCTCTGAGGTGAAAAGTAAGATTGCCACATTAAGAGGACCACTAGTTGCAATAGAGATGGAAGGGTCTTGAGAGAGAGCTAAGTGTACCTGTTGAAGCCGGGAAGGGGTCATTAGGGCGGGGAGCACCTTATGTGAGATAAGCTCACGTAGGTGATGAGATGAGTGTACTGTAATAGATTTTAAACTTTTTAGCTTCCTGTGTCAGGAGGGCTGCAGCTTCAAGAGCTCGGAGACAAGGAGCCCATCCTCTTACTATGTGATCTAACTATTTTGACAAGTAAGCTACTGCTTGAAAAGAAGGTCTCTTTTTTTGTACACCTATAGCGTTGTGGCCCTGACAAGTAGTGTATAGGATGAAAGGCTGGGTGGGATCAAGAAGGGTAAGAGCTGGAGCTTTTAAGGAGAGCCTCTTTTAATTTTTGAAAGGAGGCATGTATGGGCCTAGTAGTGTCCAGGGCTTCTGGTAAGGGACCCTTAGCGGCCTTGTAGAGGGGTTGAGCTAGAGCTGCAAAGTTAGGAATCCAGAGATGAAAGAAATTAGCTAAACCTAGGAAAGATGTAACCTGCTGTTTAGTTGTGGGCACCTGGAGATCATGAAGAATTGCCTTACGATTTGAGGTGATGGAGCGAGTGGTGGGGGTGAGAGCGAGACCTAGGTATTTGACTTTTGGGGAGGCTATCTGAGCTTTAGCAGGAGACACCCTGTATCCACGACTAGCAAGCAAATTAAGAAGACTGGCTGAATGGTGTACGGCTAACATATGGGATGGAGAACATAATAGAAGGTCATCTATGTATTGAAGAAGAACACTAGGTTTGAGATCAAGTTTTGTGAGGTCAGTAGGGAGAGCCTAACTAAAGAGGTGGGGACTATCTCTGAACCCTTGGGGGAGCACTGTCCAAGTAAGTTGTTGAGACTTGAGTGTGTCTGGGTCAGTCCATGTAAATGCAAAAGAGGTTCTGGCAATCAGGGTGTAGGGGGATAGTGAAGAAGGCATCTTTAAGATCTATAACTGTAAAGTGAGTGGTGGAGGGAGGGGTATGAGAGAGCATGGTATAAGGATTTGGCACCACTGGGTGAGTCGGGGTAACAGCACTGTTAATTACCCTAAGGTCCTGTACCAGGCAATAGGACCCATCAGGCTTGAGTACCAGGAGAATGGGAGTATTGTGGGGTGAATGGGTAGGTTTAAGAAAACTGTTGTCTAAAAGCTGCTTAATTATGGGTTTAAGTCCCCTTAAATGTTGGGGAGCTATGGGGTATTGGAGTATTGGGGAACTCAGGGAAAAATTGAGGGATCCCTGAGACAGATTAAAACAGGCTTGGCATGTGTAGTCAGAGTGGGATTAGATGTGTCCCAAACTCTGGGGTCAACCAGAGAAGGAGCAAAGGGAGGAAATGGCTTTGCGATGCATTGTGAGGCTGTTTGGAGGATTAGAGCTGTGGGGAGAGAGAAAGTGAAGGAAAAATTAAGCTTTTAAAGAAGGTCTCTACCTAAAAGGGGTATGGGACATGTTGGGATTTCTAGGAAGCTATGGTAAAGAAAAGAGTCTGGAATCTACATGGGACAGGCCCAGTCTGCAAAGGCCTATTAGGCTGGCCATTAACACCCACAACAGAAATCAAGGATTTACTACAAGGTACTGAAGATTCAGGAAGTACACTATAAGTCATCCCCATATCCACAAGCAGAGATATTATCTTACCTAAGACCTCCAGTGAGACTCAGGGCTCCGACCAGTTTACCGGAGTGGGGGCTGTGAGCCCCGAGCCCCATCAGTCTTATGCAGCAAGTCCGAGCAGATCAGTCAGTGACGAATCTGGCATTGACGAAGTCTCCTGTGAGAGCGAGGGATTAGAGGATGGCTTACCCACTCACTGGCAGCTAGGACAGTCGCTCTCCCAATGCCCTAAGGTTGCAGTATGGACAGGGCCCAAGAGGAATGCCAGGGTTAGGGCAATCTTTTGCCCAGTGTCCTTGTTTGCTGCATTTGAAGCACGGTCTGGGCGGGACTCGGGCAGCCACACCTTGTTGTGGATTTCTTGTCTTGGGAGCTCCAAGTGCCGCTGCTAAGAGGTCAGACTGATATTTAGCAAACTTTAATTTTTGAGTTTGCTTCTCCTCTTTTTGAACCTTACCTCTGTTGTTGAAGATATGGAAGTCTAATTTAAGTAGATCCCCTTTGTAGAGTCTGAGGGCCATGTACAACATTTTGTAATTTTGCACGAATATCAGGAGCAGACTGGGAAATAAAATAAGAGTTAACAACAATCATCCCTTCATGAGAGTCTGGGTTTACATTAGTATACTTAAGTAATGTTTCCTGAAGCCGATTTAGGAACACAGCTGGGTTTTCATTAGCCTCCTGGACCTGTTCTAAAAGTTTGTTATAGTTAGTATGTTTGTGAGCAATATTATTAAGGCCCACAATCAGACACTCAATCATCTTATGTAATTTTGATGAACCTTGTCCATTCTGAGAGTTCCAGTTAGGATCTTGTTGTGGCACAGCTACAGGCCCAGGGTCGTTATCAGCGGTGTTTGCCTTATGCCTGCAGTCGGCTTCTTCTTGAGCTGCTTGCCACAGCTGATTTCGCTCTTGTGAGTTGAGGGTGGTATTTAAAATCACATAAACATCCTTAAAATGTAAATCATAACAATTAGTAATAAATTCAAATTGCCTGATATAATTCTGTGGGTCAACAGAGAAGCTAACTAATTTGTGGGTAATCTGGGATAGATCAGAAAGGGAGAAAGGCACATGTATATTAACCAGTCCCTTGGGGCCAGCTTGCTCCCGAAGCGGTAGCAGAGCCTGAGGAGAAGAGAGTAGAAGCCATTGGGCAGCCATCCATCTGGTAGATGCATGTTAGCAATCATCTGTAGAGTGGCTACAGAGCAGCTGCCAGTCACCCTGGGATGAGGAAACACAGGCAGATTGCGTCTCACTGTGTGCTTTGCAGTGAGAAAATTGCTGTCCACAGTACAATGAAGCGTCATGTGCACCACAACAGGGTGGCTGTTGCTGTTCACAAGAGGAGCCACAGGGTGCACCCACTGACCGTGAGATCCGTCCCAAGATGGCGGCACCCTGTCAGGAGGTGGAGAGCTGTAACATGGCGACGTTCCCTGTGCAAGCACAGCTTGCCAGAAGGGCACAATGACCCAGATCGGGTTTGGTGAGCGGGCGGCAAGAATGCCGTAGAGGTCAGAGAATTATCAGGAGAATGAGTCGGAGACTTTGAGGAAGCACTAACAGAGTGATTAGAGTTGCTGAGAGAATTATGGGTCCCGGGACATGAAGAGGAAAACAGTCACACAGCGGGAGGCAATTGAGGCACAGAGGGACCAGTACTGCTCAGAGAATCAGAGAGCAGGGGAGGGGAGGGCAGAACCATGGCGGGAGGTAACCGTGAGGAACGAGTTTGGGGGTAGGCAGGTGGTGGCCGAACATCGTTGAGCAAATCCTGGCAAGAGGAAACAGTTTGCATTGCAGCAGAGCTAGCCAAAAGTATCTGGGTGGGAGTACCGGACTTAATGAGAGACGGGCGTGTTCTCGGGACCAGGAAGGCCTCGATGTATGGGAGTTCTATCAACCTGTCACTGGCCCAGCAAAAATCATAGAGATTTTTGAGAATGTAGGTGTCAAATGTCCCCTCTCTGGGCCAATGGTCGCCGCTAAGTGGATTAGTTGGCCAGACCTCCTGGCAGTAAGAAGTTAATCACTTAGTCTTTATGGTACTTTTAATCTTAAGAGTACGTACATTGGAAATTAGGCATTGTAGAGGCATCTTTTGGGAGTTAGAGAACACGTTTCCCATAACTAATTCAGACAAGAAAGAAGCTGTGGTCCAGAAGGCAAGCCATCACTTGTTTCGTGGCACCACATGGCAGGTAAGGTTCCAAAACTCGTATATTCCAGTCGTCACTGAGAGATGTACGAGTGGAGTCCACGTGGGTCAGTAACAGTTCTGCCCGTGAGAGAGTGAAGCTTTAAAGGGAACTGAGGACCCCACAGTGTGGGCGGTCCAAAAGCTCTGCCTCAGGCTATCCGAACCCAAAGGGTGAGAGATTTGTGGACACAGGTTTGCCCAGAAAGACCCTTCCCTGGGCTGTCCTAAGGATGTGGAAGCATTACAGAGCCACGCGAACGGGGGAGAAAATTCACGTGGGGTGGAGCCCAGCGCCAAGGATTTTACAGAGAGTGCTCACCTGAAATTAATTGGCCGGTGTTGAGTGCAGGTGGGCGGTGACAGGTTAAGATCCTGGGAGAGGAAAAGTGGCAGGATTTAATTTGGTTCGAGAATCGGCTGGTGACTCAACTGGGTGTGCCCCAGGAGTCAATCACCTGTCGATCAAGTCGTGGCACCAAATGATAGGATTATTTCCAAAAGATGAGGAGTATAAAACAAAAGAGGCCTTTATTCTGAGAACATGAAAAGAGAGAACCAGCATACCCGACCGCTGGAGTCTGGCTTTCTCTCTGGAAGACATGTGGCGTTGGGGGTATGTAAGTAGCCTGGGTTTGGAGTGGAACCTAAGGGGGTATCAGGAATGCACGGGTAGCCCATTGGTCCTAGGTTTGGTGCCACAGGTAAGTTCCCAGGGGTGGGGAAGATGACGTCACAGGTAAATTCCTAGGGGTGGGGGAGATAGGAGCTTCCTGGTTCTGGTTGAGGCTTTTCTAGCTACAGAGTCCTGTCTGGGCCAAAACCCTTTCAAGAACCAGGGAGGGATTTACCCAGATCAGGAAGGGAAGGGAGGAGGCCTCCCAGCACCCTCAAAGCAGACAACTCTACTCCTATCTCTAAGGCTGAGATGTCCATGAGGACAGGTGGGAACTTGGAGGAAAGATGACCCTGGGTGGCTCCTTGAGATTCTCAGAGGTGGGGCCCTGCAGCAAGTGGCTCACTAAGGACAGCCAGAGGTAGAAGGTCATGGGGGGGGGACCCCAAATGAGACTTTGATCATGGTGCACACCAAAAGAGCCAGGCTGGGAAAAAGGTAGCGGGTGCACACTCACTGAAGGGGGGACGAAGCCCACTCTGCAGGGGGAGCGTGGCCACGGTCAGACTCCTGGCAGCCTCCAGCACAAGGGCAAGGGGGCTTTTGGAGCTGTGATTCCTGGACTGGCTTCTTCTCATGCAAATAAGCCATTGGGATGTTGTCCTATCAGAAACGCACTGGGGCTGGTGGCAGGTCTAAACTGCCCTGTGGAAGACTTGCTTGGTTTCCTGCGGATATAAATAAAGTCTTGCAAAGAGGGCTTTTCTGATTGGTTCAGTGTGCAGGACCCAGGCACTTCAGGGTCATCCTGGAGCCTGTGTTTTGCTCATGTGCCCTAGGTCTCCAAGACCTTGACAGCTTCCTCCCAGCAGGTTTGCCCCAGTCCTAATCTCTTACCTTAAAATATTGGAGTAGATATGGAATCAGTGACAGTTCTTCCAAAAAATTAAACAGAGGGCAACCCCCAGTGCCACAAAATAAATAATTTAATTGAATAATAAATATAGAATTATCATAGGAACCAGCCTCTGTCACTGTCCCATGCGTGTCCTAGGTAACTGAAAGCAAGGACTCAAACTTACATGCATGTTCATGTGCACAGCAGCACTGTTCCAGAGGCTAAGAGGAGGAAGCTGCCACTATTCACAGACGACTGGATCAACAACATGTGCTCTGCACACAGAAGGGAATAGGATTGGGGAGGGAAATTCTGACTCATGCTCCACGATGGATAAACTCAGGGCCATTACACTAAGAGAAAGCCAAAGGACACTGTGTGATCCCACTTGTGTGAAGTACTTAAAGCAGACAAATTCATAAACAGAAAGTACAATCAGATCTGCCCAGTCCTGCAGGAAGAAGAGGACCAAGGAGGTAGTGTTTATTAGGGATGAAGTGGAAATGTTCTGGAGGTGGATGATGAGACAGTTGCACAACTACGTGAACGTTTTTAATGCCAGGGATCTGTGGCATGTATGCACAATGGAGCACCACTCCGCCGTAAAGAAGGATAAATGAGTCATGTATAGAAAAATGGATGCACCTGGAGACCACAGTGTTAAGTGAAATAAATCAGACACGCAAGTTTCAATATCCAAGTGTAAATAAATTCAAGAATAAAATATCCTGGGAATGGTGGCACATAACCTGCAATTCCAGGACTTGGGGAGGCTGAGGCAGGTTCATTGCAAGTTTGAGCCTGGGCTACAAAGTGAGCTCAAGGCCAGCCTTGCAGAGCAAGACCCTGTCTCAAAAAGACTAAAACAAAAACAAACAAACAAACAAAAAGAATTTTAAAAAGAACTAAGATAAAAGATAGATGATAGGAATCAGGGAGATCGATCTTTTGCAAATAGGAAAGAAGACCAAGAGAGAAAGGTGGGAGGGGAAAGGGATGTTAAAAAAATTGAGATAGGTTATGTGTGTGTTCCAACTTCCCCATGAGGAAGAAAACCATTATGTACTATAAACATGGACTAATACAAAATAAAAACATGTGAGGAAAAACAAAGGTTTTCCTTTCAGTCCACTTTTAGCTCCAGCCTTCTTCTCTTCAGCTGCTGTGCCTCGGTGGGACAAGAAGGTCCCCCGGGGGGGGGCGGGGGTTCCACGCTGGGAAAGATTGTGGCTTCAGGCCACGTGGCCCTGGCTCAGCCTCCTCTCCCACCACCCAGGTTGCTGATTTTACCTCTTTTTGCCCAGGACAGGATCTGGTCTTCTCCATGAAATCTTTTTCATGTATTTTACATTTGATATCCCAGACCTTTTAATACTATTTTTTCAGTGTTTTTTAAAATTTGGAGACTGGGCCTCACTAAGTCACTGAGTTGCCCAGGCTGGGCTAGAGCTTGGCCTTTGAGAGGGCTGGGATGACAGGTGTGAACCTGGACATTTGACTGCCATCCCACACCTGAGAACCCATCTCAAAACTGTCACCACTGGAGTTCGTCCTGTTACTCTACTTCTGATCACCAAAATGTTTCCCTGAAAGTCACCCCTGTGTCTTTCTTGTGTGCATCAACATCCAGTCCAGTCTCAGGTTTGCTTGGGAATCCCCTCCCCTTAGGCTGAAGCAGGTGGATCACCTCAAATTCAAGGCCAGCCTGAACAACACACCCTGTCTCAAAACAGAGACACAGATGGTGAGTATTTAAGTATTTAATTGAGGAGCAGGTGCTTGCAAAAATAGTAAAAGGTCTCAGTTAGAGGAAGGAGAGACTCGTCCTGATGTTTAGCTTTAGTCTTGTGCAGGGTTACTGATCCTGAAGGCTGGCAGGAGTCGTGCAGACGAAAGCGAGGAGAGCAGACGTCTAGGAAGATGAATGGTTTTTAAAAAATGTAAAAATGAACTTTAAAGACCAGGGGGTAAAGCAATAAAATTGGGAAAACTCTAAATAGAAGTCTGGTGCGTGTGTTTGGGAGCTCAGCACTTTCCTTAATTGGTTCGTGATGAAAAAAATCAGTTTCAGATCTGATTCATTCCATCACCAACAACTAGCGAGCGACACCTTTAAAGAAAGCAATCACCTACCCGATGGGTGTGCGGAACCAAAATCCCAGCTAGCGGTCCGTGAGCCATGAGAGAAGCCAAATGCGAAGCCAAGCCATTAATATTTATTCGCTGCTGTTCATTCCTTTCTCTCGCCTACTGATGCCGGCAGCTAGAAGCACGCATTCCGATTACCACAGAAAAACAAGTAGAAGAAAATGAAAATTTCCAAGCTAAGAAAGTTCTAGCATGCAATGTTTTTCTCTCTGTGAATTAAAGAAAGTGGACTGTGTGACAGCAGGATGAGGACTGAGGGCCACCGCCATGCTCAGAGGCGACACAGCATCCGTTCCCAGGGCCCACTGGATTAAACCGAGCATGAACGTGGGGAGCCAGGTCCCTAAAGGACACACACAGCTTTCAGTCAGAGGACTCCGAGGCTGCAGGCCGGGTGGCATCCAGCAGAAGACAGGAAGACCACGAGATTACACCATGCCTCAAATGGTAAGCCACCTTGTTCTTAATCCCATAAATACCCCTAACCTTCTGGGAGAAGGGTTTGAGATTTTTGGGGTTAATAGCTAGTGAGTAAAGTTTTTTTCGATGTTGTTATTTTTCTTTTTGTTTTGATTAGTGGGGAATTGAACCCAGGCCTTGAACGTGCTGGGAAAGCCCTGTGAGCTGCACTAACTCCTCTTTTAAGAGAAACCCGTCTCAGTGGATAGCTTACTGCGCCATGGACAAAGCAGGCCTCATTCAGTAACACAAAGCGCTCCCGACACTAACTCTGAGCCGCAGAGCAGCTCTCCCTGGAAGGTGGCTCTTCATTCTCCGGACGCCACCCATTCTCCAGATGCCACCCATTCTCCAGACGCCACCACTAAGTTCAAGAGGCCACAGCTATTCAGCAGTGTGGCCCAGACTCCCAGACACCGAAGGCCCCTCTTCCTCCCAGGCTTCTTCCTGGCCGTCTCCTGGGCCCCAGTCTGCCACTCTCCCTGGGTCCCTCTGTGTTCCCTCAGCTGCTCCAGTAACAGCACTTTCTCCTTGCATGCACTCGCAGTGGTGTGTGCTGTACTTTGATAATCTTTTAAAGAAAAAAAACACATTTACAAGTTAGTAACCATTAATGCCTGTGCTAAATTCAGTCCTAGACAGACTCTCCTGACTCACTTTGTTTCCTGAAATGTCCCACAGCACAGATGTCCGGGAATGGGACAAGCTAAGTGACCAGGCACCAGAGCTCGGGGGCCTTCCGCGCATCACACTCTCTGCAGTTCCTTCTCTGTCTCTGTGCCGCCTGCCTGCCAGCCTATCACACCATATGATATAAAGCTACCTAGGAGCCCCCCAGGTAGGTGGTAATCTAGGTTTACAGATGGGGAAAGGAGCAAACAGCAGTTGACTGAGTTGCTTGAGGTTACCCTGCAACAACAGAATGGAAGGAGGGTTCAAAGCCAGGGCCCCTTGATGCTGAGCTGTGTGTGTGTGTGTGTGTGTGTGTGTGTGTGTGTGTGTCTGAGAGACAGAGAGAGAGGAAATTCTGTGGGTAACCATGACAGATGAGCAAGTGGCTTAAAACTGACGTGTGTTGCCTTGGAGAGGCCTCTCACACCGTGGCCTCTGACTTGTCTGTGGAGAGCAGAAGCTGCTTTCTATAGACACAGTCTGATGCTTTGTCCTTCCAGTTCCCAGTTTGTGTGTGGTCTTCTCTTGGATTGCAGACTTTTCCATGATTTGATCTCTAAAGTGAACAGCAAGTGACCCACTGTCCCCAAATCTTTGGATTTGGCTGATGACAAGGGGGGAGTGGAGTCAAGAAACATGGTGGTTATAATATGATTTTCTGCAACAAACTTCTCCTGGTCCAGAAAGTACACTTTTTCTGAGTCTTTGACATGCCACAGTCACCTACCACAGCATTTCTCGTTCCTGATCTAGACTCCTGGAAGGTAAAGCCAGTATTGTTAGCTGTGCCAGTGATTCCTTTCCATTACATCACTCAGAAAGACATGGTGTGGCTCTTCCAGTTAGACCCTGGAAGAGGATGGACCCATTGTGTTCCACAGCTTATCTGGGAATCAACTCAAAATCAGAATATACGGGGTGACTCAAGGCCCTGACCACTGTCTAGCTTCCGAAAGGACTGGGTGGGGGCTGGGTCTTGTCACATAACACAAAGGAAGATAGTACTTGAATGTTTGCCAACCTCTGAGAAGAGTGACTTCAAATTCCGAACGTAGTTTGGAGGTGGTCGACCTGTTCATAAAAGCAGAGAGATTGGAGAGATAGCATATTTCCTCTTGAGGCTGGAATTTTTAACTGACTTGTGTATTCACAGTTGTGGGCCAAACCTTCACTTACCAGACAATTATGAGCTTAAAGTGTCAGAAAGGGTTACTATCTAGAATAAGTTGAGACTTGAAAAGGATGCAAAACTCAATATTAGGAAAATATGAAGGGAAATTACAAGGGGGGTTTTAAGTTTTATTTGAGCAAGAACAAGGAAGCGATTTGACACTGCCCTGGGCAAGTGATGTCATCCTGACAGATTGCAGAGAGGAAGCAGAATGTCCTGTACCACATCTCTGCAGAGAAGCCGCTCAGGGAGAAAGAAAGGCAAGTCAGTGGAAGCCCACGATTTGTTGGGGATTTTTGCAAAAGAGGTTGCTGGTCAAATGGAGCTGATCAAAGGGACTGTGGCCTCCACGGCTGAGGCACTTCAGGGGGAAAACAGAGAAAGAGGTTTTCCTTGGTACGATTTGTGTGTACTCATGGGCAATATGGAGGTATCAGAAAGAAAGAGACAGAATGGAAGTACATTACCCATGGAGTAGACACTGCAGACTGCAGATCAGCAAGGCTCGTGATGGCACTAGACAAAACTCTAGGGCAGTGTATTAAAAGGTTGGTCATGACACAAGGATATGGCAATTCTGGGGAGACACAGTGATTTCGGGGTGACAGCATCTGGTTCATAGAGCGAGTTCATCTGGTCCAGCTCATTGCCTTGGTTGATGGGTTGACTGCAGAGGCAGGATCAGTGACTACTGGTCTGGGCCTGATAGTGATCAAGGGTCCATGACACCCTTACCACAAAAGGGGAAGCTGTCCAGTTGAGGCTGGGGTACTGCGCTCCAGCACGCTGGCTTGGGCAGCCTGGGTGGAGAGCTCCACTGAGATCCTCTGTTCTTTTGCAACTATCACAAGAGATTTATATGGTGCACAAATCACAGCTGTGAGTTGTGATAAAAAGCCCATACTCATGAGAATAAGGAAGATGTAAGTAGAGAATCTAGACTGGTCTAGTAGGATGAGGCCACAAAAGTTGTTCTGACTGAGAGGAGTGAAGGATCTAATCCTCTGTTTTCTCTGTCTAATCCTCAGTTTCTCACCTATACCATAGGGATGGCATTGTGGTCTTTTCTATAAGATTGCTATGGAGACCCAATACAATAATAGATTAGAAAGAAATGCATTTTACTCTGCTCCATCCAGCGCAGCTGTTGAGATTGTGGAGGGAAGAGGAGGAGGGTGAAGAAGTGGAAGGAAGAGTCAGCAAGCTAGGCCAGGTGGAGCCCCCTACTGATACCAACCGCTGCAGCTGGTCTACCTCCACAAGCGCCAGAAGAGGCTGTTTACAGAGAAGTTTAAGGAGGGGCTAGATCTCAGGAAGAACATCTAGTCTTCAACAAAACAGAGCCACTAACCCTATACTCAGCACTTAGTTAGTGTTCCACTGTTGTTTTCTTTAAAACTGCTAATAATACCATTAGAGGCAACAAAAAATATGAAACAAAACACAGAAAGTGTCTAGACTTAGGTCCAAAACTCAGATCTACATATAGAGAACCGGAAAGGTACAAGACATGGAAATTCAGAAGCCACATCCATAGGTGCAGTGTGAACTCAGTGTCTCTGCCGATAACATCTGTGTCTGACTTCCATCGCCTCTGCAGAATTTCCTGGAAACTGGCTGGTCCTTTTGGCCACTCGAAGGTCACCTTGTGCCAGGGGTTCTGAGCTGTGTGCTGGTCACATACCTCCGCAGGTCTCAGCCCCGGCTGCAAATCAGAATCACCTGCAGAGGGCTCAGATCTCAGGGTCTGACCCAGAACCACCGCTGCAGACTAAATATCCACCATTGGGATCTGTAACCCTTCCAGAACTGGGCTCAGATTTGAAACTCAGACATTCAAAGAAAGTTACTAAGCAAAAATTCAGGAATTATTTAAGACAGGCAGAAAGGTACCTGTTGTTCAAATTTTTATGCCTGCATTTCAAGGTTCTTAGAGGAAATGTCATATACATACAAAGAACTATTATAGGGTTTTTTTAGTGTTTGTTTTGTTTTGTTTGAGGCAGGGTTTTGCTTGTAGTTCAGGCTGTCTTCTAACTCATTATGTGCCCAGGCTAGCCTTGGACTCATCATCCTCCTGCCTCAGCCTCCCAAATGCTGAGATTACAGGAGTATACCATCATGCTCAACCATTATGCTTCAATTAATACCCTATGATTTTATTAAAACTACTTTTTTGCTATTAAAATTAACCATCTAAACAGCCCAAGGTGAGAACTGGTGATTTTTAAGATTCCTGAGATGCACTGTTTACTCCCAGTAGAGTTCTGGCACATAACAACAACCTCTGCTGAGTAGCCTAGTGATAAGGGTGTTGTACTATTAGGGAATTGTGGAACACAATCCATACTGTGTTAGTCCACTTTCCATTACTATAACAAATTATCCAGGACAGGTTAATGTATAAGGAAGAGAAGTTTATTTGGCTTACAGTTTTGATGACTGAAGAGCCAAGATCAAGCAGTCCCATCTGTTTGTCTTCTGATGAGGGCTTCTTTTGGTCCTGTCACAACATGGTGGAGAAGCCAGAAGGGAAAAAGTCCTGTGCAGAAGAGAAACGTGGTGAGACAGGAAATCAGCAGGGATCAGGTTCACTGTCTTTATAACAACTTGCTCTCTAGGAACTAACCTAGGTCTCTGGAGAACTATATCTTTAGGTAGCCTTGAACTTGTGGTGGTGATCTTCCTGCCTCAGCATCCTAGGGTGATGAAGAGAAACCTCTTTACTCCCACAGGGACCCATCTTTTAAAGACCCTTCACCTCTCCATGTCCCCACATTTGGTCTCAAGTGTGCAGCACATTAGCATTTGGGGAACTGCTCAAACCATATGTAACCATGGCAACCAGTCTCAAGGGAGACTATGATTATAGTAAACAAGTCTCAGAGACTCAGCGACAGTGCAATGTGGAACCCTAAAATCCTCAGTGCACTCTCTGCTTTTCTGACTACTCCAATCTTGAAGAGGCAGACTGAACCCTTAAATGTACCCTCATCCAAAAGGTCTTTATTACATCATGGGAGATTTTTGATCCTCAGCCATCTCCCCATGGATCTGAAAGCAGTCACCACAATTGAATTCCATGAGATAACTGGAGAGTCCCTCGGGGTTATGACAACCAAAGAATGAACTTGTACCCCAGGGTTCAAAATCCTGGAATGCCTTTGAGGGGGGGTACTCCTTTCTGTTCCTATTTTTAGTGTGTTGCTCACTGCAAGTGTGAGTAACATTTCCATGCTAATGTGTCCTCATCACTATCAGTAAATGATTCTTAGTTCACCAAAAAGAGAGGAAAGTTGGCAAAGGAGGAAAGTTGATTTCATCCAGGTTCTCCATCAGGAATCAGAGCACAAGGGCCCCCACATTAATTCTGCGCAGTTCTGACCTTTCTCTTTGCTTCATTGCCAAAGATCGAGAGGGAGAAGGGCCATTCTCTTAAACCCTTGAACTCAGTCCCAAGCCAATTGTTTTTAGAGATTAGGAAAAGGCTTTTTAGCCATTAAGTCCCCCAGTGAGCCGGTGAGTTTTTAATTGCTGCGTTAGCTTTCATCGCTGTGACAAAATACCTGCGGAAAAGCAACTTAAAGGCAAAAAGACTCAACCGCTCTCTTGTGGTTTCAGCCATAGTCAGCTGGCTCTGTTGCTTAAAGGCCTGTGGAATGCAGAAAGATCATAAGGTGGGAGCGTGTGGCCGAAGAAAGTTGCTCATCTTGTGGCAGCCAGGAAGCAGAGAGAGGGGGAAAAGCTAGGGAATAGTCCCCAAGAGCAAGGCGCAGTCCCCTGTGACCCATTCTCTTCACCTGGGTACTTCCTGCTATGTTTCACCGCCTTCCGTTAATGCATCAAATTATGAATTCACCTGTAGATGCACCGGTGGAGTTAGAAGCATCAAGAGCCAGTCCTTGCTAAAAGCCCAGCTCTGAGCATGCGCGCTGTTGTATGGGGCGGGGTGGGGGAGGGGTGGGGATACAAACGACAGCTGCTGCCTTCTCGCCGTCCTTTAGGGGCAGCCCTGCGCCAGGCCGACCTGCCGGCCACTAGGTGGCGCCCGGAGATGCAGCTCTAATCGGTGAGGAGAACCCCTGCCTGTGGGGAACCTCTGATTTCTTATTAACGGGGACTGGAAATGGGGTCCGCCGCCTCATTTGTCCTGTTTTAGACTGGGATCTCCAGGGTCCAGCCAGTGAGGCTGAGGAAAAACCACAAGAACTACAGAGATGTTGGCTTGCCATGAGAGATTTGTTATTTAGAAAAATAAGGCATGGTGCCAGGGATATAGCTCAGTGGCACAGCACCTGCCTGACAAGCGCAAGGTCCTGAGTTCGATTCCCAGTGCCAAAAAGGAGGGAGTGAGTCATGACATATATGATATATGAGTCATGCTGTGTGCGCCAGTGTATACAGTTTCTGATAGGCCTCGAAACTCGGTCTAGAGGCAGATAACGGAGGTCGATAACTAAGTTCATGTATTCAGACGAATCAAGGAAGAGCGTTTGGACTCTAATGACCGCGCAGTGACGCATCGTAACGCCTTCTCAGAACTTTTCTTCCTGCTCGGGTTGTAGATGGGAACGGCAAGGACAGAGCCCAGGATGGCCGCGTTTATGGGGCAGCTAATAATTATGGGAAAGCTGACTGCGTGCTTCCGAGCGAGGCAGCGACCAATCTTCTACCTAAAAATGTTAGCTCCAGCCTAAAAAGCACGTAATTAAACTCAAGAAATAGAAATAGTAAAAATTAAAGACATTTCACTTCTTCATATTTCATTCGGTTCACAGAGTACGTAGCAAGGCTCAGCAGGCTGTAAAAACCATAGCTGGCTTCTTCCTTGGTAAACTCAGTGTTTGTTTCTGTTTTCTTTCTGGTTGTTTTATCATCTTTCAGTAAGGCTATAAATATAATTTTTTGATGTCATGTTTATTCTAAAGAATCACATTTAATCTCTCTAAAGCAGAGATATATGGTTTTTTTGTGTGTGTAAAAAAAAGCAAAAATATTTTGGGCTTTGTGGGCCACTAAATCTCTGTTTCAACTACCTGTCAACCACTGTAGGAAAAAAGATGTGGAATCCAAGTATTTGGAATCCTAATTGAGTTCTGTTTTCACAAACACCACTGGCTCTGCTTTCAAAAGAACACATTTCCTGCACACGGGCAAAAAGGAATGGTTCTTAGTATAGCGATTTCCTTGGTGCCTTCAGAGTAGATTCAGTATTTACATAAACCTAAAGCATGCTTTTAGTATTAGAAAATTTTTCTTTGAATTTCTCTTTCATGTTCTAGATTTTGTAAGTTGAACACACACTGCCCAGCTGTTGCCAGCTTCTCATCGGACAGTGCTTACCAGCTGTTTGGAAATTCAGTGCTTCCTCCGGAACCAAACAAAAGCCCGAGAGCTGTAAACAGCGAGGAGCTCCTGGTCCCCGGTACAGAACTCAGCGCAGCTCTTCTCCACACCGCACACACACCCCGAAGTCCAGGGGAGCCCGGCACAGCAGGGTTCACACATCTACAGGGACAGGCGACTTCCAGAAGCTGGGACCCTGGGTCTCGGGGAGAACTCCAACCTCCCCCACAAAAAGAAAGTTGTATTAGGATGGCTGATGGATGAAAAGCAGGCAGGAAATAATGGAGGCCAGATCGCTGGAATGTACAAAAAGTGGGCCTCTTCACATTCTTCTGGGCAAGTGACAAACAAAGGCAATGACATTTACACCCGTTTCCAGCTTCTGAACTTCATGACTGTCCAAAGTTATCGGTCCTCAAGGCTGAGGTAATATTTGTACCAGTGCCCTCTGTTGGACAGAGATTGAATTCCATTCTAATTTCTAATTTTTCTTACAGGCCAATTTAAGTAAATCAGAAAAGTTTGGGCTGAGCTGTAGTTCAGCAGTGTCCCAAACATCTGTACAGAGCCAAAGTTCTAGAAAACTGCATTTTCCCCATATTGACACATAGGGTTGCTAATGGCCATTGTGATTCTGAAACTGGTGCATTCCACTCTGTGTAAGAGGTTAGTTACACAAAAGGCTAGGCAGTGATTCCCAAGGCCCTCACTCCTCCCCTGCTCTCCTCCTCCTTCTCCTGTCTCTTCTTACTGCTTTTCCCCTTCTCCCCATTCCTCTTCCTCTTTCCTCTCCTCCTCTCCCTCCTCTTCCTTTTTCTCTAGCTCCTTCTCTTTCTTCCTCTTTCCCTTCCCCTTCCCCTTCCCATTCTCCTTCTTTTTGATAGCATGGTATTCAAGTAAAATCTCAAATTAGGATTGTTTGAAGCAATGGCTCATTCAGCCGTGAGGGCCACCCCTGTAGCATCTTCTCAGAAAACAAAACAAACAACAACAACAAAAACAAATACACTATGGGAAGCCCAGTTTGGAAAAACTCACTCCAAGGTGTGTCTGTGTTTAAAGAAACATTAAGATTTTCTTTCTTTCCCAGTTTAGAAATACTTTTTTAATTAACCGATTTCCAAAATGTGAAGTGTTTTTATCTCTAAAACTTATGATGCCAATTTCATTGTATCCACAGACAACAATTCTGCAAACTTTTATCACTTAGTGATTCATATTACAATATGTAGTACTTCAGTCATCAAAGGAAATAGGAACATTCTAGGTGTAGAAATTAGAGAAAGATAAATTTGTTCACACAAACTGGTCTTTGGGAATATTTTCTACCATATCCACCGAGTGGGATTTGTTACTTGTTTGGTGATATAGCCCATTAGCACCTTTGTAAACTTAGAGATTATATTATTTTATTGTTTACCAATAGCATACCTATCTCACTGGAAAGATCTACTATAAGGAAAAACCCAAACACTCAACAAGTTAAAGAACTAATTTATAATCAAAGAGAGAGGACCATCCCAGAGCGTTCTCTATAGCTGCCTGCCTCATCAGTATGAGACAGTACATTCCGCCTCCTTGGAGACCACATAGTCAAGACTGCCGCGGTGCACTCTGTCTAGACACTGCTCCTCAGGAGGTGTCCATCCAGGACTGCATTTGAGCTGCTTTACCCTGTCAAACAACTGGGATCATCCAGGGAGCAATGGCCTCTCCCAGTCCTCTGAAACTGTGCTCAGCAGGAGAGCTTCTGGGTATCTTGGATGATAGAGAAACGTGTTTCTCCATGGAGAAGAAAGCCAGTAATCCCCAGATTAGAGGGTTAGCTGACACTTTCCAGGCTGGCCCACCCTCGGGGGTAGTAATACTGCTTCCCATAAACTTTGCTGCTGTTTTTATCATGTCTGTTATTTCAACTTGATGGAGGTCTGGCTATGACTTTGAGTGAGATAACTGAGCGTGCCAGCAGACCACCCACAGCAAAATCGACCCCTGGCTTCCCAGTGTTTGGGGCCCTTGGGCTGGGAAGCACAGTCACCCTTGTGCTGGCCTTCACTCCTTCTGTCCTCTTGGATCCTTCCCATGTGGAAAACAGAGAAGGTGGAGTGTGGCAAAATTCTCTTTGGGGATGTTCTTCCTTTGTGTGCTAGAGTCTCTTCTTTTTCCATGGTCCTTTTCTTGTGGATCAAGAACCACATGCTACTATTTCCAAGTGATTGGAAGAGACACATACATCATAGTTTGCCCTAAAATATAGTTGACCAAAGATTATAACTTTAGCTGATATATCATAGATTGGTTGAATTATAGTTTTAGAAAGCACTTAAAGATCATCTAGTCCAATGCCCTCACTTTAGAGGGAAAGAAACAGAAGACCAAATCAGGGTTCATTTTGAGGGGCTCCCGAACCTCACCTGATCCAGTAGAGGTCTGTGGGCCCCCGGGCTGAGCTCTGGAGCGAGTGAGTGACTGTGTGTGGCTGTAACCATCACTGACATGTGGAAAACAGAGGTTTAAGTAAGTACTTAGCGTATTAGATCCCAGGCTTATCTGTCGTTAGCTTGAAGATAGTAGTCAAATCTCTCTCTGTCCCTTCTCACCTGAGCCAAAGGAAAATACTGGAAACAGATTCTAAGGAGACTTGACTATCTCATATTTACTTAGTAACTTCGTAGTTTGTTTATTGTGGATTAACCCTTTGCCAAACTAAATAGAAATGATGTTTTCAGCCCTTTGGCAAGATTCTGTTAAGTAGATGCTTATATGTAAACATTTTCCTTTTTCAAAATGTATGGGAAAGTTAATAAGTGACTCTTGATTATCTTTCAAATCAAAGGTTTTCCTGATATAATTTCTACATAATTTTCTGAAGTTTCCAAATAGGGTAGAGCTGAAATCCCCAGGGCAATTTCTGTCCATGGATAAACTGGATAAGCCTGGACTTCCCAAGTGATGTCACCATGAAAGCCTCATAATCAAGAGCTTCAAGACCAGGCCAGCACATCCAGGAATGCCTGGGAGAACAAGAGAGATCTTTGCTAGATGTCCACTGGGAAGAATGTAGCACACTTTTTTTGGTTAAATACTTCTCATTACATATTGAAAATGTGTCTGAAAATCTGAAAAGAACATTAGAAAAACTACCTAGCAAGAACTTCAAAGTGTGTGTGTGTGTGTGTGTGTGTGTGTGCTTTGAGACAGGCGAGCCTTGACCCCACATAAGCAATTCTCCTGCCTCGGTCTCCAGGATGCTGGAATTATGAGGATGTGCTACCATTACCAGGTTTCAAATTATGTTTTTAAGTGACAAAAACAAGTTACATAATAATTTGGATTGCAAAATCCTACTTTGGTTAAAAGAAACAGTAAAAAGAAAAAATAACCTAGGATTTTGGGAAGAGTGAGAGATGGGAAGAAGAGCCAGACAGACATACAGAGAGACAGAGAGAGGGAGGAGAGGAGGGAGGAGATATTCCTAAACTTCAAAAATATCTGGGAAAAAACCTATCCAACTGTTGGATGAGTGAGGAGTTAGGAGATTTATATCCAGGTTTAAAAACATAGCACATTTGGTTTCTTGCAGTTTGGGCTGTTGTCTTCCTCAGGGAGAACTTCAGTCCTCGTCTTCATCTTGGACACTTCATCTTGCACATCGTCTCCTGGCTTTCAGCGCAATCTCCCAGCCTCCAGCACAGACTTCCTCGTTTCCACTGGCCCTTGGGCCTTGTGGTACAGATCCTTGATAGAGATTTTTGCAGGACCCTGCCGTGAGCTCTGAGCCTTGCGCGTTTCCGGCGAGGAGAAAGATGTCAGCACAGTTCTCCATCTGACTCTATTCACAGGCACTGACTAATTCATGGGCAAAAGGGAAGTGCAGTCAATTGCAAAATGTCCCACAAGAATTCCTCTCATTGCTCTGCATATGTATTTGCAGTGTGACTTTCCCTCTCTTCCCATCAAGGTTAAATCCATTGCCTGAAAAAAATTACCACTACCACTTGACTCATAATTTAGGTATATCATTCACATTGGCAGAAACATTCATATAATTATTTTTAATTTCATTATTAATGACCTCCAAAAGCTTTCTGACACACTAAGATATAAAAGGATTATACTGAGTACTCTAATATTAATATTTTATAATCTGCTGTGTATAATAGTATACTATATGAATATTAGTGGCCTTAAATTTGTCAGAAGTTTACTGTATTTATTCATTCTGTAAATGTCTGACTACCTTGTATGCATAAGACTGTGAGCTAGATATTAGAAACACACATCAAAAAAAGAAAAAGCCATGGTCTTTACCCTGCAGAATCTGCATTTTCTTGGAAGGGACCAGTGTTCAGCAGGTGATGACTCCCCTCCGGGAATGAGGACAGCAGGTGGGATTCAAAGGGCAGTGGGGGTTCTCGCTCATGCTAATGAGAGTAACAGCTGCTTAGGAGCAGACACCAACCTGAACTGGAAAGGGAAGGCTGTCAGGCAGAGCACATGGCGAGTGTATTCCAGTAAAAAACAAAAGCAAAGGCAGACAGAGCAGATTACCAGAGTTTCTAGCACAGAATGAGAACAATAAGAAGGGGAAAGACCTGCCGAGTGTGTCACAGTCAGCTCACAACAACCAATCTCCTCTGGAAAATGCTCCCAGATCACTGAGCCTCTGGTAAGGGTGCCTGAAAGATGTAGCATCCTCCTTCTGTTAAATTAGAAGGGCTCTAACTCTCTGTGTAACATTTTAGACATACACCTGTGTGTACATGCCTGAGAAACACAGGGATGACCCTTATATCATTGAGTGTTAGAAAAATAGGAAAGAAAGTTGAATTATTATTTTTAGGCATGTTAGTATATCCAGTTAGTTCATGGCTCATCAGTGTTTATGAATAATAAAATAACACATCTTTTGTGCATTATTACATACTTACTGGGTAAAATATTTTCCTGCCTTCTACTTGAGTCAAATTAATAAGTATGTTGTTATGATTCAGCTTTTCATTAAGTTTGTAGTCTATCAACTGTTACGTCTGGATGCACAGTATTGGCTGAGTCATAGTTCTTTGTTTGAATGAGTTGCATTTTGGGTCAACTCTACCCTTTTGGTGTAACGGGAATTGTTAATACGGTCCTTAAAACAATACTAGATTTGGGATGAACAATGCAACTTTCATGTAACATTTAATTATTGTAGTGGAACTAGGTATAAAGAGCTGTCATGACCATAAAGTCTACTACAAGCTACCTAAATGTGACATGTTATTATCATGGAACTGTCATGGTCTCTTACAGCAATATCCTTAGAGTAATTCTTATTTTTGTTTCTTTCAAAATTTCAGTGTCATAATATTATAGAAATGAAAGTGACAATAATATACTGTTCAATTTGTTGAAATCTCTCTTAGTATAAGATTGTATCTGGACCAATACTGTATTTAGAAATTGGTCTCTAGTAGAAATTGCTTTATAGATACAGATCCTTTCTAGATATCCAAGTCTTCAAATTTCTTTTTTCTTTATTGGAGTCCCACTTTTGTCACCTCATCTGCCATTTTAGAAAGATAATCCATTTTCTCTAAAATTTTTAAAGATACACTTTTTTTTTTTTTTTTTTTGGTCTTTTTAAAGGCAGGGTCTCACTATGCAGTTCAGCCTGGACTTGAGCTCACTTTGTAGCTCAGGCTGATCTCACACTCACAACAATCCTCCTGCCTCAGTCTCCCCAGTGCAGGGATTACAGGAGTGAGCCACCATGCCAGGCTTAGAGATACACTTTGAATTCTCCTAAGAGATAGCCAAAAATAATGTTGAGACAAGAGATTAGGGCATGGCAAAACTGGCTGGGGAAGCAGGCATGACCTGCCAATTACTAACGCCCAGGACACTCCCCAGAACCCTGCGCTCGGAGCCAATCAGTGGGGGCTGCCTTCATTTCTTCTCACTGTTACTGGAGCAGGTCTCAACAGGGCAGTCTAGATCTGAATGACATCAGCTTGAAGAGTGGAAGATACAAAAGGACAGTCACCAGTGGGCTTGGGGCTACTGTGTTCTTTCTCAGTGATCTGCTTTCATGCAGTATGGTGTACTTCTTTTGCTGCTTTTGCTTGGCCTAAATTTGCTCTACAGAGCACCTTTAATAAATGTAAAACCTTTCTACCTTTAATGAAGTCTGTCTCAATGTGTAAGTTCACAAGCTGTAATTAATGAATATCATAAATCAGTTAAATCAAGCTGAATTCTCAATTGTGTAATTTTATCAAAACCTAATTGTTCTGGGGATTTAGCTCACTTGCCTGGTAGGCCCAAGGTCATGAGTTCGATCCTTGATACCAAAAAAAGAAACAGAGAGAGAGGGGGAGAGAGAGAGAGAGAGAGAGAGAGAGAGAGAGAGAGAGAGAGCGAGCCTAATTGTTTGATAAGAGCTAAACTACTTGCAAGTTTTTCATTCATGTAAAATAGTTGCCCATGAAAATTCAGCATTATAATTAACTGATGTTGTAGATCTACATATATAGAAAATTAAAAGCAATCTGAATTGCTTAACATTGCAAAATATTTCTAAGCTGCCTTGAAGAACTATGATGAATACACTAAAACTATGAGTGCTTCTAGAATCACAAACAGTAGCATGAACAAAAATAAGAAAACAGATGTCCAACACTACCCACATATTGTGTAGGTACAGTATTATGGAAGAACCTATTTTAATTATGGTATCTAAGAGAGGAATTTGGCAAGTTAATTAACATGTTCTTTTTTTTCTAGATTTAATTTTTTAACTGGAAAATGCAATATTTTGTTTGCAACAACAGTAGTTATCAGGTCAGCATCTGTAAGACAGTTGTAAAAAAAGCACTTACATACAAACTCAAATGATATTTATCTCATATATTTCTAGTTTGTTACCAGTGAAATCCCAAAGGGCTTACAAGAATTAAACATGAGAATCTTCCCTGCATCTAAAACAATGTTTGCTTCAAACATCAGCAACAGCACACTCCATAAAGTATCACATAATCCAAAGGAGGATGCCTTTCACTCCACATCCTACGGCAACACAGGCAGAAAGACACTCTCCTGACCATTCAGGATTCAAGCTTGTGTTGCACCAGCCATATAGAGAATCCCCACAATAAAGACACTATATGTGTCCTTTAATAAGTTTACCTTTTGTGTGTGTGGTTTTGTCATCGACAGGGTTCTCTGACTCATGGAGCTCATGGCAAGGTCAGCCTTGCCTGAGTCTAAGGAAAATATTGGCTGAATCATTTGGATTTCTTCTCTAAAGATTTTGGAATTCAGAGCTCATGCTTCTTGGGAGCTGATCAGTGTTCATGGCAGAGGGAACTTCTCTGGCTTTGTGGACGTTCCCAGATCTTCCAGAGCAGGTGTGTGGGGGTGGCTGAGCTACTCATCCACGGATTCCATGAGATGTTAATGTCGTTTAGAAAACGCCCTTTGTGTGCACTAGCTTGTCTAGTTCTCATTGCATGTAGCGTACAGATTCTGCAATAATGTGTTAATCTGTTGTGATAGGAGAGGATGAAGCTGGAGTGCGGTTGGATCCAATTCAAAAGTGACTTCAACACCCTCAAACCATGAGAAACAAAACACAGCTCATGAAACGCGGTGTCTCCTTATTTCCTCAGATTGCCTTGAGGTCAGTCCATAAAAATCCCTCTTTTTTTTAGCACTTTCCATTGTTTCATGCATAATTAGATGATGTCGCTGGATAGGCAGGTTTTATTGTGATAGTTAGCTTTGGCATGGGCTGAATGAGAGAACAGAAACCGCAATTGTCTCCTTCATTGTTCTGTCAGGCTCTTAGCTCTGGTGAGACAACTGGGTTCTAGAGACTCATTCATCCCAATTTTGTGCATGTCAAGATTTTCCTGTTTCAGAGAGGCAGAAACTGTGCCACGAGTGGTCATTGTCCACATGATTATTGCATCTGCAAATTCTAATAGATAACACAGCTCAGTGCCAGGATGTTCACACCAGAAGCTGTGAATTCTGCTGGCTTCTGCAAAGCTACATAGACCTTTTTTTGCATATATTCCCTAACAATACTGCAAGTCATGTGGAATCATCTACAAACTATTCCTCCTTGTCTCTTCACATAAATTATTTTAGAGTTTTTAAAAAATACCGAGCAGAGGAAATTATTACTGATGTAACTAATGTTCTGGAAATAATTGTGCATCACAGAATAGCATATATCAATAAGGAGTAGTTACACACGAGGGAGTCCCTTACAAATGCACAAGGATATTTGCCTATTCATAATATTTGGCTATTTGTATAGTTTGTCCCTATGTTTATAAGAAATAGTATTGCTAAACTTCTTTGTCTCATAAAGTAAGAAGTTCTTTCCTTTTTAAGCTAATGCAGCAAGATTTAGACTGTAAGTTCTGGGTATATGCATTTACATTGCTGTCTGAGTCACTTTCTCTTTACTGGGACTTGGTACCTGACACCCACAACTTAAAAGAGGAAAGATTTATTTTTGGCTCACAATTTTCTT